GCACAGAACCCCATGCCTTCTGAAATTTCCCAGAGATGGTCACTGCTCCTGAGATAGCCGGCCGATCAGCGAGTACCTCCGAATTATACTTGCTTCTCAAGATCGGTAAATCCGTTGACCATGACTGAAAGGCTGACTTCGCTTGCGTCTGACTTTTCACACAATGCACTGGGTATTGGCCATGCTGAAGACATTTTTTGCCCCTCCGTACCGACGTTGCCAGAGACGAATCAGACCAGTTGAATATTACACCTTTGTTTTTAATGCCTTTTGCTGGTATCAAGGGTTGGTTTGGTATGGAGAGACAGCGTTTTGACTCAATTTGTGCGAAGTGGCTGAAGCGGCGGGAACCGGAAGCACAGTCAGAAGAATCAGCGCTGCCACAGGCACCTTAAAAAACAAAGTCCACTCATTTTAGACAGCCGGCAAAGCACAACTGTTTTACAAGTGGCGCCCATTGATAGAGGTAAATATGATTAAATATGCCCATTATCAGGAATCCCTAATGATCGCGGGATGACCATACCCTGCATATCATGTTTCCACCATGTCACACATGAATGCAAACAAGCAAAGAAACAAACACACAAGCGAATAAGCCGAACCGTCAGTGTCTTCCGCCGAGAGGCGGCATCAAGTGAAATTACAGGGTGGTCAAACACTCGACTCATATTGCTGCCACAAAATACGTTGCTGCATTCAGTCAGTGAGCGGCTCTGGGAGTCCAAATTTGAAACTGACACCAAGAAGGATCCTCATGTTTACAGAGCGGTCGCAGAAGGCCTCAACGTCTCAGTTTTCATGGCCGATGTTTCTTGCTGCTCCTAGGTCGAACCCCCAGCCGCTTCGGTCCTTTGGGTGCTAAAGGGACACATGCAGCCAAATAGGGGAGACCACAGCTTTTCCAAGCGCAGGTCGGGTCATTTAAAATCAGTCGCAACCTGCCTCGAACCTCGGAAGGGTGAGATGTCATGGAGTTCGGTGATCTGAAGAAAGTGAGAAGACTGGGCTTCCTTTTCCCCTGTGCCCCAGAAAGCAGCTGTGAGGTGAAAAAGTCCTTCCAAACAGATACTTACATGTTTGATGCTCTGGGACGGTGTGATGATGTGTCATCCATTATCAGAGGTCTGTTTGAGCCCACCGGGACATGGCGACATATTGTGATGTATGTCAGTCCCACCTGAGCAGGACCGCCGCCAAAGACTTCTTGCATCCGAGAGCTGACTGTTGATGTCCATTGTGCCATAGCGCAGAGGTTCGCCATTCACCACACCTAAAATCAAAACTTTCATTTGTTTCACTGTTCTGCTTGCATGCAGCAATTTTTCCCTTGACAGTGGTGTTTGGCTCCGCTGCCACCTTCCAAGTCGTTTTTACTTTGACATGCTTTACGACCGCGCACCAACCTCTGATGTGGTATCGTACGGCACCTATTGCATATTTACAATTCATGAGTAGGTTTTCTCGTTTAGATGTCCCAAAAACCAACCTCTGGTTCCAAACAATGCGCCGTTGGCGCTTACTACATCACACATTGTCGGCATGAGCAGGATCAAATGCCTCCATGAAGAGAGTTCATCTTCGGGTTCATGTGAGCAGGCGAACATAAGCTCCTACGTAAGCTTTGAATCCTGGGAAAAGGAAAACGAAACAGTTTTGAGCACAGCTCATGTGGGAACCCTCCGCGAAAGCAAAACCTCCAGGTGGAAAAGTGTGGCGAAAGACTCCGTGAAAGGAGTGTGCGAAGATTAAGCCGCGAAAGCAGTGGTGAAAGCAGATGATTAGAGGAGCAGAGTTTGATATTTTTGTATATTTTGTATAGATGCGCTCGAAGACAATATTAAATTTTGACATAAAATACTGTCAGTTTTCCGCGAAAGCCCGACAAAAGCTTGCAGAAGCTAAACATCCATGTAGCTCGAACTGTGAGGTCAGCACAGAGGTTCGTCATTCGCCGCAACTAAAATCACACATGTTTCAAATGATGCGCCGTTGGTGCTTGCATCACACCACCTCCTGCACATGATCTACACAGTCCAAGACAAAAACGGTTCAAAGAGGCCCAAAGAAGCTTCTGCGCCCTTGCCTGACATGTCTAAGTTTGCAGCCCGCGGCTCGAAGCATTGCAGTGCATTTCTGTTTCAGCTCACAACTGGTAAAAACTGCTGAACCAAACTGGCCGCCAAAGGCCTCGCAAATGTGCTCGAAGACAATATTAAATTTTGACATAAAATACAGACAGTTTTCCGCGAAAGCCCCACAAAAGCTTGCAGAAGCTAAAGATCCATGTAGCTCGAACTGTGAGGTCAGCACAGAGGTTCGTCATTCGCCGCAACTAAAATCACACATGTTTCAAATGATGCACCGTTGGTGCTTGCATCACACCACCTCCTGCACATGATCTACACAGTCCAAGACAAAAACGGTTCAAAGAGGCCCAAAGAAGCTTCTGCGCCCTTGCCTGACATGTCTAAGTTTGCAGCCCGCGGCTCGAAGCATTGCAGTGCATTTCTGTTTCAGCTCACAACTGGTAAAAACTGCTGAACCAAACTGGCCGCCAAAGGCCTCGCAAATGTGCTCGAAGACAATATTAAATTTTGACATAAAATACGGACAGTTTTCCGCGAAAGCCCCACAAAAGCTTACAGAAGCTAAACATCCATGTAGCTCGAACTGTGAGGTCAGCACAGAGGTTCGTCATTCGCCGCAACTAAAATCACATGTTTCAAATGATGCGCCGTTGGTGCTTGCATCACACCACCTCCTGCACATGATCTACACAGTCCAAGACAAAAACGGTTCAAAGAGGCCCAAAGAAGCCTCTGCGCCCTTGCCTGACATGTCTAAGTTTGCAGCCCGCGGCTCGAAGCATTGCAGTGCATTTCTGTTTCAGCTCACAACTGGTAAAAACTGCTGAACCCTGCTGCGGGTCAGTGGGTGTCCACTGTGGCATCAGCACAGATATTTGCCCAAGCTAGAATCAGAGATGACGCGCCATTGGCATCTACATAGTCTGCATATTTCAAGATCAAAGCGGCACAAAGAGGCCTTGGAGTGTTTCTCAAAACTCCTCACTCTTTCTTGCTTTGTGCTGCCAATTCCAAGAGTGTTCTGCAAGATCCTCTTTGTTCTTCCCTCATCGTTTTTCTAATTTTGCCAAGAAGATCTGAGAGTTCCAAGAGCTGCAACAACAGACACTTGCAGCCACATCTGGATCTTCTATGTCGCACTTTTTTCCGCCGTTGCTCAACAATGATACCGGATTCTTCACCTTTGGAAAAAAGAACCCTTATTTAAAATGAATGTCGTCATGGACATTGCTGTTGCCCACCTGGTCACGTGGTCAGGCATTTTTGCCTTTTGTTTGGATATTTTCGCCGCTGCGGATTGCCAGAAGCATCGCCAGAACCATCGCTTCGCCAAAAAAGGTCGAAAACTTGTTTTGGGGCAAAAAAACACCATTTCGAAAACGCAGGTATGTGGTTGCCCAAGGGTTTCTCACATCTGAGGATTGGCTGCTGAACGTCCATGGATCTCCACCGTGACATCAGCGCAAAGGTTCGGGATTCGTCACAACCAGGATCACACATGTTTCAAATGATGCGCCGTTGGCACTTGAACCACCACACATTGTCCACATGATCTACATAGTCCAAGACATGAATGGGTCAATGTGGCCCCAAGAAGCTTTTGCGCCCTTGCCTGACATGTCTGAGTTTGCAGCCCGCAGCTCGAAGCATTGCAGTGCATTTCTGTTTCAGTTCAGAGCTAGCAAAAACTGCTGAACCAAACTGGCCGCCAAAGGCCTCCCTCTGAGGATTGACTGCTGCAGGTCCATGGGTGTCCACTGTGGCATCAGCACAGATATTTGCCCAAGCTAGAATCAGAGATGACGCGCCATTGGCATCTACATAGTCTGCATATTTCAAGATCAAAGCGGCAAAAAGAGGCCTTGGAGCGTTCCTCAAAACTCCTCAGTCCTTACTGCTCCGCGCGGGGGTACTTGCATTTGGTAGAATTTTCCAACAGTTGCAGGGGGTTCCTGAGCTCCCAGAGATGTTTTGGATCGCTTGGTATTTCTACTCATGTACACATTTTTCACATCACCCTTTCTCGCATTTTGTTGTAATGCTCGGAAATCCCTACCCTCTTAAATATGGAATTTGAGGGGGGGGAGTCGTACTGAAATTTCATTTTAAAATTCAATTTTTGCAATCATGTTTTCTCAATGATCAATGTTCCTCATCATTCCATGTCATTGGCAAGCAGGTGAAAATTAAATACTTGCGCTTAGCTCCTCCGCTAAGCACATGTCAGCCTGAAGCAGCACATGTGTAGGGATGGCATCCCTCCAAAAAATTGCGCTGCCGTGATCATACTTGCGCTTAGCTCCTCCGGAGCTAAGCGCAAGTATTTTCTAACCAGTGCCCAAGGCTTGTTAAGAAATGTTACTTTACCATTCCATTCGAGGGGCTGGATCATTATCCCAGGGTTTCCAAGCAAAAAAAGGTGGAATTCGACAGGTTGGTTTTGTCCCCCCCCGCCCTCCCCCTCTATAGGGGTAGGGATGCTCGGAGAATGCTCGGAGAATTCAAAGAAACGCAAATCACACGCGAGGCGGGCAAATTAGCCGAACACCACAGATCTTTCCCAGGAAAAGAGATGACATCGCGCACTAAGTCAAACAAAGCAAAAATGGAAAAAGGTCTAAAGCCATGACTGAAGAAGGTGCCATTCGCAACTTGGTTCGAAAACTGCTGCTTTCCAGCGGGTAGGCGGCACAAACACGGAAGAAGACATGGCTCTTACCTGGCTTTCTCATGCAGAAGTTCCAGACCTCAAACCTCGAAAGGTCATGGCAACTCTTGCCGGAACTTCATCGACTGCAATTTTCTCAAAGGAGCCAAAAGGCCAAAAAGATACCCGGATCTCAATGATTTTCGCAGGCTGCCCGTCTTTTAAGTGATCTATTTGCGTTCATCTTTGATCATTTTGATGTCATGCCGTTGGTGCATCTCAAACAGCTGGACTGGGACGGCCCTGTCACAGTTCTGAGTTTGCAGCCCGCCATCCAAGACCTGGCGAGTTGCAGCTGAGAGCTGCAGCTGAAAGTTGTTTCAACCTGGGCCAGAGGCCTCCATCCGAGGGTTGACAGCTGATGTCCGTGGTCAACTGTGACATCAGCACAGAGTTTCGCTCAAAAAATTATCAGAAATGACGCATCGTTCGCATCCACATAGTCTACAAATTTCAAGGAAAATGCGTCCAAAGAGGCTTGTGAGCGTTTCTCAAAACTTCCACTGCTTCGCCCATGTGGCTGCAGTGCAGGGAAGAAACCTTAGAGCATTCCAAGAGCCGAAAAGCCAGGCGGCCAAATGAGCTGAGCAACAAAGCTGGTTTGGCAGGTAACAAGGTGAAGACCAGAAACCAAATGAAGTGCACTAACCCAAGGAGCTGCAACTGCGATCATGAGCGAGACAGCCATATGGCCATATGAGCTAAGCAGCCGAGCTCCATGCGAGGCTTCAGAGTGGGATATTTGGCAGTGCTTGACTGAGTGCTTGCGTGGAAAAAGCCGACCGGAATGAGAGTCAGGGGGTAGGGGGTCAGGGGGTCAGCTGGGCCAAGTCTGAGATTCCACTTCAGCCAGGAAATGAGCAAAACGTACCCAAAGCAATCCCAAAGCACTAAGCATCAGATTCGCAAAGACCGGGCCTAGCCAGGTTTCCAGGATCCACAGGTCCTAAGGACAGATTTTTTGAGAGAAACAACAAAATCCGGCTTCCTGAGAAGAAGGTTTCCAACTGATGGCCGAAGAGGGTCAGCACAAGCAAGGTTCCCAAACAAAGGGCTACAAACAACGAGGTTTCCAACGAAACACAGTTTCTAACAAGGGTGTGCAAGGATGATGCATCGGACCATATGGAACTTTGATGGTAGGGATGTTCTTTGGGCTTTTGGTTTTACATGCTTTGCCCATTTACAATGTTCCAGGCGGAAGGGGGATTGCGTGCAGGTGTCACACCACACGAGATACGCACTACAATTTTATTGGAACATGTTGGAAGGTGATTGATCCAACGAACTGCTAGCCATCCATCGCCATAGCCATCCATTACTTCACTATCCTTCAAAGAAGGAAGTGCCATGGTAGGAGCTCGTCAGGGTCTCAGTGTGGCAGTTGGGCCCAGCTCGTGTTGACAAGTTGGGCCCATCGAGGCGTCGATTCCTGGCGGGAGCCGTGGGGACGGAACCAGGCTTCTGAAAGTCGGGTGCGCGGTGCCCTCAAATCTGACGGTGGGGCGTAATATGTAATCAAAATGCCATGAGTGCAGTGACATTAAAAGCATCACTTTCCAATGGTTTTTGTTTGGTATTGCTGGATGTTGCCGCATTTTTGCTGAGGATCAGTGAGTCCCAACGCTGCACAGGGGCAGAAACCTGCAACGCGACTGCCATGGCCCCAGCTTCTATTGCTCAGCCATGACTGGGTGGCAGTTGGCGACACTGAAATGCCATATATGTGTCAGGTTGTCATTAGCCAAAGAGCAGGAAAATATGTGGGTGGGGGAGCCTCAGTGATAGCTTCGAACTGAAACTGTTGCTGATTCGCAGCCTCTGATGTGTCAATGCCGTGCCTATCCAATGCGGCTGTTCTGGAGCTGATGGGCCGCCATAAACGCTTTGAGAACAGCTTTGGAAGGCCCAACTGGTGACAAGTTCCAGTGCTTTAGAGGGGACCTCCCGGCATGTTGTTGTGAAAGATGTCACGCTGAATCCAGCACGCTTACATTGTCGAAGGGCTCGGCGTCAAGGGACTGAGGTTGTTCTGTGGTCAGCAGTTGTGGCAGGCAATTGCGGGCACTTCGTGCAGAACACGAGGTTCTGCTGAATGACCACATCAAGTGCCACATTATGATAACCTGTTATCGCCCGTAGAACCTCCCAAATTTCCGTGAATTTCCAGAGAGGAATTTGTGATTAGATTGTTGTGGCCGTGTTCCGTGTTTCTTGGCAGAACTAGATCATACACCCATCATCCATCGTGGAACCTAGTACTGGAGCTCATGCGCATGGGTCCAAATCATTGGCGCCCAATGGATGGTTCATTGATGTTCAAGAGCTCATTTTCACTCATGAGAGGACACCTTTGTGAGCGTTTAAGGCCTCAAGACTTTACTCCGGAATTCTTTAAGGGACACTTCACCCGGTTTACCCCCATTTTTCTGGGGTCTTGTCCTATATTTTCGCAAGAAATTTCGTCCATTCAGCTGGCTTCCAGGTCTTGAAACTGGAGTCTCAGGCCTTACGCCGATGCTTGGATCGAGTCCGGGCAGCCTGGGCTATGTCAAAGGTGGGGGCCTGGATTGGAGCCCGGATTTGGAACCAACCATGTTGGAGATAATGAATATATGAATATTTCCGATAATATTTCCCCAATATATTGTATTGTATGAAAGAGTATATGAATAATACACCTCAAATTGTATCCCCATAATGCGATGATATATGAATACACCTTTGCCGTAGATTGTATAGATAATAATCCACATGATTTTTGGCACCTGAAATTGTGGAGTTAATAGCGCTCCCCCATTTGCGCCCTGTAAATGTTCCAGGACGTTTGCCATAGGGACCATGATGATAAATCGATGGAATAGGTTCAGATAAACCCATATATACTGGCAAAAAACTGTAGATGGAACGGGTTTATCACATTATTACCCATTTTGGTCCATGTTGGAACATACCAACATAATCCGAGGTAATCCGACATAATCCGACATACCTTTGTTCGTTTTGTTCATGGGCGAGAGGGTCATGATTTCTACCGACAGAAAGCTGCAACTGAGAGCCCTTCTATTGAGTTCTGCTACCCGTCCAAAATACACAACACAAGCATTTGCAGCATTTGCAGATGTAGTCAATGGTTGAGTCCGTATGTTAATTGTCCATTCTTGGTGCTATCGGTTTCACTCCAATGGTTTTTGTTAAATGAATGACAGCCGATGGCCGAGGACATTCTAATCTAGTTACTAATCTAGTTATTACTTTCGTGCGGAATTCGTGCAGAGATTGGAAGAGCAGTTCCTAGCTTTCAGCTGTTTTGCTGCATTGGCAGCCTAGTACCCTGCAATTGGGCACATGGTGTCGACGAATGATCTCATTCTACGATTGGGCACCGACCCAGCAAAGCGGCCAAGCAGGACGAACATGGGGAGAGGTTGTGAATTTTAAAGGGAGGTGTGCCCATGAAAATGAGAGCATATAGGCCATATAGGTGTTAAAATCTTTAAACATCGTAGATGATGGATCATCGTACCTGCAGCATAAAAATAGATGCGATTAAAGGTGCACAAACGCAACATGTAGATATACTGCACAGCACATGTATACATACAAATGCTACAGACATATACATGTTTATGGAAATGTGTATATAGATATAGACATAGATATATAGATATAGAATATACGTATGAATGTTTACATATTGATGTAGTCATCCTGGAGTAGATAGAGTACGGAATTTCAAAAAATCCACTAACATGGGAACGTGTTTTGTCGAACAAGCGCCTGAATGACTCCAAAAGCCGAGTATAGGTTTGAAATTCGATCTTGTTTGAGCAGATGGCGATTGGACAATTCAAATTCATACATATTTTGCTGGTTTTTTGAGTGCAATCTCAAGCGCAAAATTCAGCAAAAAGAGAGGTACACACACCGCACACAGGCGCAAAGATTGCAACACATTGCATGGCTTCAGTTCTTATATAATTCGATCTTTTGTTTGTTTGAACGTTTCCGAGAACTGTGCTGTAAAGATCCATGTGTATATATTCGTGCACGCACACATACATAATTATATATATATATGTCTTTCTCATGCGTATCATAAAGATAAACACACATGCACGCACTGACATATATAGTATGCCGTATGCATATATATATATAAAACATATATGTACACATATATGTATGAGATACATAAAGGTGCGTTCACAGTTCAACATTTGAAACGCCAGCGCGCTTTGGGATGCCAGGAGAATTTCATCGCTCTGTGGAGTTTCCGGAGGCCCAGAGGGATGAGGAATTGCAGAAAGCGATCTGCCAAAAGATTCAGGAGCCGGCCATTACCATAGGGATGTGGGGATCAAACAAATCCGGGATTCTGGAGGACTGGTGATGGGAGAAACCCCATGAAGATGGGGAGTCAAAACCAATCGATGAGTCGATGAGGATAATTACGGCGCTGGATTGACCGACGAAGGGGAGGTTTGTATGAGGTTTTTATGGCGAACTTTCGGCCATTCATGAGGAAGCCAGGTGAAAAACATGGTGGGTTAATTGGTGCCTTAGTTTTTAACCCTTTCCAAAAGATGCTTTGGTGAGTTCTCCTATCAAATGTGACTGTCCCGTGGCTTGAGTATCGTGCAGGATGCCGTTGATATCTCAGATGTATTCAACAAGGCCAGGCTTGATATGATCACTGCACCAAAAGCAGACGAGTCACAGTCATGTGAAGCGTTCAGGTTGCAATTCATGCTGGGAAGACCAGTCCCAAGACATTGGTCTATGCTGTGTTGTGTGCTTAGTTTCAGGGACATTGAGACTTTCAGATTTCAGGGGTTCTTTTTTTCATTTCATTTCATTGGTGATCACATATTCTCACATCATCTTGATCCCAGGGCGGGAAATGTGCCGGAAACCATGCGATTCGCCCTGCAGCCTGGTGGTGAACCCCCAAGGCACCGGATCGCACGCTACTGCCGCCTCCGAAGGCAGGACATTGGTCCCACGCGCCCGCCACTTACAGATCTTCAGATCGGGAAGGATTCCATCCACTTTGATCAAGGGCTTGGGGGTCCGAACATCATGTGCTAAAGCCCTAGACCTACCAAAAATGGATCCATTTGGGGATGGTTTTTACAATTTTTTACCAGCAAAAATGGTGATTTTAGGGATGGTTTATGGCATCAGGTTTACCAGGTTTACCACATTGGAACTTTGACCAATCTGATATGATTTGATTGGTTGAGCCTTCCATTTTTTTCAGACGAGGTCGGGCTGCCCGGTTCCTGTTACTGTTGGAGAGCTTGCAGCGGAATCTGGCCCACTTGGATGCGCAGGTTCGGTGCTTCAGCCAAGGTGGCAAGGGGAAATCCCCAGCGTCAAGATCTTCATCATTTACCCCGCAGTCAAACATGGCAATGAGATTGGAATATATCATCTAGTCATGCATGTATCTATATAAATGGGAAGATCATCTATAAACGAGGGATTTTACCAGAGGGAATGCAGCTTTTTGCCAAGGTTTGTAGCAGATCTTGCAGGTTTCTGGAGCTGACGGAAGCCCAAACGGGTGCAGACAGGATCAAGAAATTTGGAGTGAAACTTCCGAATGTTGTGCCAGGCAGCTGTAGGAATACTTCAAAGTGATTTTGATTTGAGTGAAGAGTTTTTAAACTTGTAGACTGGCTAAAGTCAAGAAGAATGGATATTATACAGCCATATACAGCCAGCTCCCAGTTTTGCAAATTCAAGGCTACCAAAACTGACCAAAACCTATCAATTTGATTTTGACATGTTCTGGTGATGTCCTCGCTACGATGGCGCTGCGTGGCGAAAGTGGTTGGCAAGCCGTACATTCCAAGGCTTTTGGGAAGGAGCGATGGCAGCAATCCATGGATCGTTGTAACATGTTGCAACATTGCATTGTGTCACGGTATCAATTCCAAAAAAAGACGGCGCTAAAACATGATATTTCATCTTCCCTCAGCCTTAAATCTATCAATCAACATTGCTGCCCCAAAAACACCACCAAAAAAAACATAATCCTGCCTCTATCCTTCACCCTTTTCCATGCTGGCCCTTCGCAAGGAGCGCTGGGTGCAGCTGCGGGCGGCCCTGCGGCAGCCGGTGAATCACCTGGTGCTGCTGAATCCCTTCCTGCCGTCATCCCAACACCAGGAGTTGGTGCGGCAGCGGCACCTTGAGCCCCACCCAGTGGTGCCGTTGGTCTTCACGGCCAAGGGTGGAGTCCAGGGCCAGGGCGAGGAGGACTTGGTGGGGATGGTGGATGGAGGGAAGAAATCACAGAGAAAGTGGGGGTTTGGTGGAGATAGACCTGAGACATCCTGACACTGTAAGTGCATGGTTTTTTTGGCAACGCTGGCTTTGATGTGATTTTCCGATGTGGGCTTTCGATTTGAGATGATTGAGATGAACCCGTAGCTAGGATGAAGGCCTGTTCTCAGACGCGGGCGGCGATAAATTGGATGCCAATGCAGTGGATTCTGAGATGCTTCCCTGTTACCTGGCTGAAAAATCCAGACTCCGCTGAAAGCATGTTTCAGGATTCTTTTCTGCTAGGATGAGTAGCTATCATTTTTGATGTGTGTTGGCATGTCTCACTTGCCACAATTCGGCCAGTCTTGTAGCTCAGCGAAGATGAGCAGAAGTAGACACAATTTGGCGGGAAGACATGGTACAATACAACGTCCTCCGGAGGTTCGACTCTGGCCAGAGGCATAGATTACTGTAATGTACACTGTATATTGTATATATATAATTATATATATATATGTATATAGGAAGCAGGCTGATCCATAACCCATGCTGATCCTAGATCCTAGTCTGAACATCTGTGAGCACTCTAGAGTGAATTTCATGGCTCGTAGTAGTGAAATATTATAATTTACCCAGATACATATACATATATATATATATTTGTTTATTAAGTGTATATATATATATATAGAGAGACATATACACATACACATATATACATACTATAACGATTCTCAATAGGGACCTGTCCTCGAACAAACCATTCTCCATGGGAAACCCATGGTGCCGGTGCCAGGCTACTTTTTAGATGGCGCCTCAGCGATTGCCGCTGCGGTGATGGATGTGGCACCAGGGGCGTCTGTTTTGGATCTCTGTGCGGCGCCCGGTGGCAAATCCGTCATGTTGGCCTCCATGTTGTTCTCGACCGCCAGCATCTTGGTGACATGAGGATGAATGGTATACCCCATGAAATCCCATGAAAATCCATGGTTGTTTCCTTGGCTTGATCTACTTTCGTGGTGGATTTTCCCAGCATCTCCGTTCGTTTACTGGAGGCTAAGTCAAACTCAGGGCACACAAAGAGGGATGAGACGATGTTAAACTCAGGTGACGAGGTGTCGAAAGCTGGTCGGTTGGTGTGCAACGAGATGTCGCGGCCGCGTCTGCAGCGACTGCAGAGGGTCATGTCATCCTTTCTGCCAGCGGAAGTGCTCAATGCAGGCGGCCGCTAATAACGGGGGAATCTCCCAAACAAACACAGAGATCCTAAAATCAGAAGGCCATCAAATAAATTTCCAGCTAGCTTTAGCATGCCATTACATGTTCTTGCCATTGGATGCTGCCTTCAGTAGGAGAAAAGGTGCACCTGCTCCTCCCACCACAGCACTTGGTTGATTCAAGCAAAAACCGATGTAGTTACCATCAACCATGGGTGTTTACCATCCAACTGTGGGTTTTGTCCGAATGTAGTGTACTCAAATCTCATGGTTTATCCTCGAATTTTCCTTAATTAAGATTTCATCTTCCCATATTTTCCATATTAACGGAGCCACGTTTGGTACAAGAAATATCACCGATTCTGAGGGGTTCTTTCAGAGGTGCCACAGGGCGTGTTGCTCTGAGCAATGTGGACGCAGCCAGTGGATCCGTGCCAGTTCCTCTGCAAAGACTGGCTCCCTTTGACTATGTCCTGGTTGATGCACCGTGCACCTCAGTGACCTGGATTGACCTGGACCGGGAGTTCCCCCAAGGTTGCTGGCTTTGCCACGGTGTTTCTTGTTTGTTCCTTCAAGGGGTGAGTAGCCAGCTGATGTTCTACTATTTTCTTTAAAGTTTGTTAGTGTAATGTAGGATGTGCTTTTCTCCATTTGCTGACAGCTGTTCAAGTTGCGGTGGCCCAGCTGGGCCATGTCGTGAGTGGCGTTCAGGATCGGCATTTGGTTCGTCAAGGGTCGGCACTTGCCCATTGGGCAGCTGGAGCGGTGAAAGCCAATGCGGAGAGACAGCTGGAGCGGGCACTATACAGACACACCCACACGCGATTATGTAGACAAATCCATAGGTAAGTCAATAAATGAATCGACGCGTATAATATGCACATACTTAAGCAACTTACAAGTGCAGCACCTATTTGCATCTATTTGCCTAATGCGCAGATCCAAACGTGCATCCGTTGCTTCGAGTTTTCTGAGGCCCCTGGCGTTGATGATTGAAAAGTTCAATGTCGAAACCATATCCGATTCCCGACAGTTGCAAGACTCCTAACAGATGGCAAGCAACAACAGTTCTACAATCCCAGCGAGAGTCTGATTTGCAGGAGCTTGTGCGATGTGCGGCCGCTTTGGTGAAACCGGGCGGCTTGATTTTGTACGTGACCTGTGCTCTTTCGGAAGTGGAGAACGATGGTCGGGGCCTTGAGGGAAGTCTGTTGATCATTTTCTTCAGCCAAACTTAGTTCAAAGAACCAGAACTTTCTCCTTTAGGAAAAGCCCAACTGCAAGTGGTTGATCACAATGACTGATGGATGTGGAGTTCTGCGAAAATAATTTTAAATAGGTTGCCCCAAAACAATGGCGATGGAGAGAGAGAGAGAGGTTTATCATCATTTCGCCATTCGTTTGATACTTCTTGATTATCTATAGATCCCATTATAAAGCAGAGCATAGTGGCATAGTACATCCCATTACATCCCCTAGAATCCATTTTCCCAGGTGTGGTGCAAAAGTTTCTGAAGAAGTTTGGACAGGGCTTCGCACCGGAGCCGCCCCCGGAGCACACCAAAGCCCTGCTGGAAGGCGCTGATCTGACGGCCTTTGGCGTGCGAATCTGAGAGGAGCAATGCATGGCTCAACATGGCTCAACCACTCGGGAAGCTGATGATCAGCCGATTAGCCAACAAAAAAAATGAGGGAAAGCACCGAAAGCACCTTGAAAAATCGAACATCTAGACATTTTATATCATTTTATATCATTTTAGCAGGAAATGATACAAAATGACTGGAGCTGGCTGCTTCAGACAGGAATCGGAAACAACTGGTGTGATGTTGCAATTTACTCAGTGGATGTGAAGGGGCAATTTGATGTTGAAGAACCTGTCGCTCAGGTACTGTTCCTTCCTGATCGAACCCCGTTTGGACCGATGTACATAGCTCGATTGCGTCGAAGTTAAAATGAAGGGCATGCAATCTACCGAGGGCCCAGCTGGCCTTTCGCAGAGATTCGGCCAGATATGCCCCTCTCGACCTGGGAGGCTCTAACAGACTTGAGCTGGTCGCTGGCAGTGTGTGGGCCTCACATTTTCCTTGCATACTGCAGTTGGCCTTGAGCAGTTATACAATGCAGTTCTTCCCATTTTTTCGGTGGCTAGGACCAATTAGGAGCGTAAGTTAAGCCCAACAATAGCAATCCCATACCACCCTGTGGTTTCCAATATTTTGCACTTTTGGACAAACATTTTGCAGGACGATGTCAGTCTATATAATATTTTTTGATGGTTTCATGCTGGGCAACGAGGCTAAACCACCGGGACAACAAGATCCTTGTCTGGAGCTCAGCTTGTTTTGCCGCGCCCCAACCGTGCACAGACACCATATCCTTCCAAGAAAAGCAAGAGGGGCCAAGGGACCTAGCCGTACTCCCTATCTATGGGAAGCCACCAGTTCTAAGTGCACTTAGCCATTTGGTATTCTTTTTCCATGTTATTATTATTGTCATTGTATATACATGCACACACACACACATGTGTGGATGGTGGGCAACGTCAACGGCTGGTCAAGCAGCGTTTTCGGGCTTGGTTTTGATTCCCAGTATGCTCCTACCACCCAATCACCAACCTAGGTAACCTGTGTGGATATGTCGAAACTGAAGCTTTTTCAGTTTCCATGGGGGTATGAGGACTGATGAATACGAGCGATTTTATGACCTAAAAGCCAGGTTCAGCAGGGCTTTGACCCGTAGCCATTTGGGGGTTTTATCGACACCGGTGCACATCATGATCAACTAGGAGGGACAGACCTCCGCCAACCCCCACCAAACCTTCACTAATCAACACTTCCAATAATCACCTTCCTGCACATCTGACGATTTTTTCTAGATGCGCTTTGGTAATCAAACGGCCGTGGAGGCCATGGCCATTTGTAGATGATAACCCCCACTCCTTACCAGAGGACATAATTGTAACATATTGTAACATATTGTGCCCTTCAAATGGCTGATTGGGCAGTGTGGTGGGGCAAATCCTCTGAGAAGCCCTGGCAAAAAAAGGTGGCTGATTGGGAATCTCCAGATATCTCCAGTCCTTTTTCATCCCATCACTTGGCGGCTTCGCCAGGCGGGCTTGTGCCACCAACTCTTCGCCCGAGTGGAGGAATTCAGCCCCGCCAACCTGGCCATCAGCGCCTGGAGCGGTGAAACCGAAATGCCGGGTGGAAACGTTGGGTGAAGAAGAACGGGTTTCGGGGGGTAGGTGAGGCGATGAAGTAACATAACTATATATAATATAATACAATATAATAATAATAATAACAATAATAATAATAATATATATATATATAAATAGTTTTATATGTATATGTATGAAAGTATATCTATATGTATATATGTATATATTTATATAAGTATATGTAATAACCACCATAAGTTGGGATATAGCCAATATAGCCCCTACAATCATGGTTATATACCCATTTGCTGTATAAGCTTAACTGCAGCTGCAATTGGGTTCACCTTCAACAATATGGACTTTAACATAGTTTCACCAAGCAAATTGGGGGAAGAGAAAGAAGAAGAAGAATGATAGGCAAATATCTGGGGAAACCAACTGGTGAGGGATAGTTGAGCGTTACTCGCAAATATCTTGCCAGTTTGATGAGGACGTTAAGTAACCAGCCAATTGTTTGTGCTGGGCATCTAAGATTGGTTTTGGGATGGCGATATTTTAGGTGGATAGACATACAGAAATGGGGTGATAACGGGCAATAGCTTTGGCAAACTATCATCATTATTTCCCGTGAATGGAGCATAAAGAAAGGGCACCAGGATGATGGGTAGTTGTAACGGCTCTATATAATTCGTAGGGAAGCAGCCGTATAAGGTGCAGCTGGCAGTGGTCTTTTAAAGGCCTACAAACAACCTTTGAGTTATACTGAATCGGAGTTTCTAAGCTGGGTCTTTATAACCTGTTTTTTTTCCCTGGGCGTTTGTTTCCCAATGCAGCGCTGTGTTTATGGAATATTTTCCAAGCAGTCATCACCACAGGAGCTTTGCAACCCTGAACTATCGTGATGCCTGGCTCTCAGCAAAGCTTTGATGGCAATGGGTTGCCCCATTCCCATAGCTGGCGTAGCTGGCGTGGCGTCAGGATCTCGTCATGAAGCGCCTCAACCGACAAGCCCTCGGGCGCCTGCAGGACCTGGGGAACTGATTTCTGCTGGAAAGGCAACGAGTAGTTGAACACGAAGCATGGTGGATTTCTGATTTCTTACGAACAGTGTGCCATATTTCCATGGAAAGTGACGGCAAGTGCCAAGAGGTGTTCCAAAATTCCAGGACAGGTCTCAGTGATTTTGTCCGCCGCCAGCTTTCACCTCGAGACTCAGCACTTCACCATGGAAGGCTCGGGCAGCGAGCCCAGTGAGCCCGATGGCGAAGAGCCAACTGAGCCAACGGCTGAGCCAACGGCTGAACCAACTGCCTCAACCCAAGCCCAAGAGGAGGCCACAGATGAACCAGCTCCAGAAGTACCAGAGGTGGTACCAGATGCTGCGGCAGAAACTCCTGGATGTGAGGCTGAGGAAAAGGTGAGAGAGGAATCTTCTGGAGAAGCTTCCGAGTCTTCTTCTGTGCCTCGATTAGAAGAGATTCATGAAGGACGTATCGTCTTTTATCATACATGGTTTTTCCAAGGTAACTTGATTGTTAGAGTCATCATTGATGGCTCCCATATTTATCATTATTTAATTATTGATCTAAGTCTTGGACATGTAGATGATGATTCAGCTCATGAACAATGGGACAAATCCAATGCCAACTCCATCAGAGGCTAAAGGCACAAAGGTGCTGAAAGTGCATGCGGGCATCGCCAAGGAGGAGCCCAACAGGCCTCAAATCAGCTCTGGAGTTGATCGTGGCGCACCATTTGTGCGAAGCTTCCAGGAATTCAAGGACCTCCAACTGGGCTGCGGTGAGCAATATGTAAAGAAAGTAGGGCTAGGATTGGTGTGCATGGACTGGTTTGACGCAGGAACCAGTTGGATGCAGTTTCCATTTGGGCACCTTAGCACTTTTGCTTTACTTCTCATTCCGTTGATCAAATCCAGTCATTTGAGAGGAATATGGTTCCTTTGGCAAAACAGTTTTCCGGAGAATGCAGGGGTATGGAATGCACAACACCAGGAATGAGGTCACAAGGAGGGGAGAAGCCTCCCTGACCCCCAAGCGGAGGACATGGGGTGCAAGGAAGCAGCCCACGAGGTGTTGAGGCAGGCCCTGATCATCATCCAAGACCAGTGACAACATGGGGATTTGACATGCCAGCAATGCCAGTTTTTTTTCTTCAGTTCGTCCCCTTTTTTTGGAACCAACCCTAAACTATCCAGCTTCGGACTGTGCTGGGCCAAGGCAGGGGCTGCAGTTCTGTCCCGGCAGTCCTGCCCTGAATGCCTTGGCGCGAAGCGAGGGCCTTGAGCCGCTGGGAGTCGGAAGCTGAGGAAGCTGCAAGATCTCAGCATGACTGGAAGTTGGACGAATAGGACCAGTTCTGTAGGGGAGTTATCATTAACAAGAAAATGTGATGGTTATTCATGGTTCATTTTTTCACCAGTTGGATGGTTGAACATTTCATGAAGCTACCAGGGCTTCGGTGGGATTTCTGCTGGGCAACTCGGCATGCGCTGCCGAGGGCCACAACGAGGGCGATAGCAGTGAGGGGAGCAACCAGCTGATGGAGCAGCTGCGGCGCAGGGAGCTGCTTATGCAGCAGTTCCTTGTTAGTTGTGACATTTTCAAACCAAAGGACAATTGAAACATGATGATTTTGTGAGACATGTCACTATATATATATATACATTTAATCTTATACAGCATGACTGTGTATATGTACATCTGTATATATATATAAACATACAATTATATACATTTTTTGGTTGATGCGTAGTGGTCAGTACTAGTTACTAGTCTCATTTCATTTGGGTTGGGGATGACTAGCACCAGCAAGCATATCGTGGCTCACTGCACAGGATGCATATGGCGCAGCAGCGACAGAGGATGCAACAGCTTCTTGGCGTGGAATTTTCCATCTGATTCCATCTCCCCGTTGTGAAGGAATCACTCATCACTCCCCCAAAATCTCTCCCCTCAGTGAATTTGAACCTTCTTGAGTGATTTTGCATGATTTTCCAATCCCAACACAGTCAGTCCTTTGTGGCCAAGGATCCAACAGTGGCAGGCCTGCTTGCAGCAACCCCGTTACACACCACCTCCACAGCTTCCTGAGCCTCAAACGCGCCCAAAAGTGCCGACCAGGCCTGGCCGAAAAATCGGAATTTCCTTGTGGAAAAATGGTGATTTTTCCCTATGGAAAATAGTGACATTAGTGACTTAAAAAGTCAAAAAAGTATGGTGATTTGTGGGATATTCATGATATTCATGAAGATTTTGAAATAGTGATTAGTGGGGGTTAATGCGGATATAATCGGGATAGAATGGGAGCAACACTATTGTGTTCAGGAAATGATGTTTGGATTAGTCATTAAGTAGTCGGGATACCCTCTGGTAATTTTAACTGTTTGCTATGGACACCTTGGCCGATTTAATTAGTTCGATGATCATTTCCTATTAAACATGGTGATTTTCCATATTTCAATTTGCCTCTGGGCTCGTGGACAAACTTTGCACAGCTCAAGGATAGCTGCGTCGGTCGAGATCGGCCTGAACATTCCACTGCTGGGGTCCAAAACGGTCTCCCAAAAATTGCAGGGAATCGGAGTGAATCCTTATATGTGGGAGTGAAAACTAGGGTAATTTTTCCACCACTTTTTTCCACCAAGCCACTGAGTCAGTCATGACTGCCAGGCCAGCTGCACTGAAATTCTTTGATGAGCTGGAGTACCCTGACAAGACCAAGGCGCACCCCCACGGTCCCTCGGTTCTTGAGAACCCTCCCAGTGAATGTTTGACTTCCCAGGCCTCCCGCGGAATCAAAGCAATGGCACTTGGTGCAGTTGGTGGCGACAGAGCTGCAGTACGAAAATGTACGAACGTTACTAAAGACTTGCCAGATTACCCATGGTTACCATATGTTACTGTATAACGTAGATAGGATAGTATATGGTTGATTGGGAGTTTCCCCGTGATGGGCTTGAGTCATTTCACATCCGCTGGCCCAAGCAGAGTGGCGAGGCATGATGGTGTGGTTTTGGGCATCATGTCCGGTGCCTTGGCTGCAGGGGTACAGGTAAGAGATGGCAGTTGTTATTTTTGGATGGTTGGTTGTTGATGGGGTTGTTGGTGGTCGATTATTTGTTGGGAATTTGAACGCGGGCCACCAGAGAAGATTTTTGGTGATGGTTGCCATCGAGCCACACCTGGTTTCACTATGGTTAGTGGCATCAGATGGTTTCAAACACACCAAGGCACACTATTTTGTTTGGTCGTTCCTGGCTTGCCACCTGGCATGTATTGTATTGCTGCGCGACTATGGAGGGGACATTGGCTTGCTGGCAGTCTGTGTGACTTGGCCTGTTTGGAAACTTTGCAGACATGGGTTTGTCCAACAATGCCAATACATGGCAATTTTTAGCATAGACATTTATTGATCGACCATGGGCCATGAGATTTTCGGCTACCCTATTTTCAGACAAACAAAAGTATAGCTCGCCCCCTTTCGACGTCGCAACGCTGCCATGACCGCCAAAGAGTGCAGCCAGCCAGCATCACAATGCATTCCCTCTGACTATGTGCAGAAGGGGCAGCAACACGTTTCATCCAAAACTCCATACGTGTTGTTGATGAGGTCGACCCCTCCCATTTTGTCAGAAATCTCAGGCGGGCCTGGCGTTTCATGCTGGCCATGGCTTAGCAGACTTTTTGGCCTGGAATTTGGGTGGTGAAGATTCTCTTGGCCCTTGGGCCGCTGTGGTGGTCTTTGTTCCGGGCTTAGCTGGGGGGCAGGGAGGGTGTGTGCAACCTACTGTCAGGTGGTAAATCCATTCAAACATATTCAAACAATTTTCTTTATAATCCCAACCCCTAATATCCTACCTTCAATAAGGGCGCCCAAGGTGAATAGATCCAATCCTAAGTCAGGGTTTCTAGAAAGTGTGGGATTAATTCTCCAACGGCTGCTAGGGATCTCAATCACTTTTGGTCTTAGGGGGTGCGGTGGCGCATGGCTTCAGAAAAAGAGGTTCCAAACAGTTCTCAGGCAAGATTTTCGGTGTTTCAAGGTTCAGGTTTCCAGATTTACAGTGTTCCGAGCTTCCAATGTTCCAGAGTTTCAAGGCTTAATAGTTTCCAGCTGCACAGTTAAAGGTTTTCAGGTTCCCAAGGCCGCAGCTCCTTCTGGGGTTGGGATAACTGTAAGGAACGTATTGGAATTTCTTGAGTTTTTTTTCCAGAGGGAACTTCTCCGAAGAATTTTGAAGGAACTCGGCAGAGCTTCCCCATCGGGATCTTTTCAGAGAACTTCCCTGCGTTTTTTCCAGCAAACTTCTTCGCCGGGATTTTGTTGCAGTAAAGGAACTTCCACAGGGGATTTCTTTGAGGGAACATCCACAGGGCAAAATTTTCAGGTTCAATCCGGTTGCTGGGGGGTTCGCGTTGGCTTATTTTTGTGTGGGTCTGTTGATACAGAGGTAAATGGTAAAAATGATCGCAAAAATTATCGCACTTGGGTATTGGTTCACTTCTGTTAGCACATTCAGATACATTCATTATGTAGTTGGGCGGCAGATAGATAGGACATCAATCACGAGCCTTGACACCTGCAACGTGCCAGCCAAACAGTCATTTTGGGGCCTCGATTGTGAGGCATGCATTCTCTACCTTCAGGGTTATTTGAAAGAATGCAGCACCCTGCCGCCGGACTACATCTCCACTCTGTCCTTCTTCTTCCCAGTCTTTCCTGCCTATGATGCAGCTGTGGCTTTCAGCTGCTTGGAGTTCTTCTTGGAGTGGCGATATCTACCCGACTTCAAGCTTTGGCGTCCTCTCATTCTCTTGGGCACCTTGGTAGCAATGGCAACCTCCAATGATTCCTCCAGCCCCACAAGGCAGAACCCAAAAACCATCAGCGGTCTTTCTTGAGCACATGCAACGCAGAGATGTTCTTTCCCATTTGTTGGTTGATTGATAGAGGGGTCAACCCCATTGAACATCCTGAAACAACCAATTGGTAAAAGACAATGGTCTATCAAACCGGCTCCGCTGTTCTTCCCCAAAAGGACGTCCGCTTGCTACACTGCCTGTGCTGGATGTTCTGGGCTGCTGAGGTTTGATTTGCATGGCTGCAGGTCAGGCCTTGGTGATCATCGCGGCGCAAACTGCAGACCGCAACTTTTGGGCATCGACACGTGAATTGGAAGAGGATGAGCTGGTGGGTTGCTGGGCAGGATATGGCCCATGGCTTGTTCGAAGCGGGCCAACGGATGTGGGGGCATGGCCTCGTATACATGGTTATGGGGAAGTTCCCAAAATTGGGGGCCTCAAAATCATTGGTTTTGCTTTTAACCATTTCCAACTTGCGAATTTGGGTGGCTTTTTCGGTCCATCATTCTAGGAAACCTTCATACATTTTTCTCGGCTTTGATTTTCATTCACTTTCTTTCTCTGAAACACCCCAAATTTGACGGTACAAACAAGGGTTTCAAGTTTCAACCGTAGATTTCCCCTGAAATCCATGCCTTGTTTCCCAGGTCTGGAAATTCCGAATCGCCGAGTAGTGCAAGAAGGGGTCTATGCCTGGGAAAGGCATCCAGCATATCTGGGAGCTCTTCTTTGGGGAATAGGCTGGGGCATCACCCGTTTTTGTCGTCGATTTTCCCAATGAAATGGCTATAGGGATTTCCCGGCTAGCTATGTTTGATTATCAATATTACCAGAAGATACCAGAAGTTTGTCTTGTGTTTTTTGTGCTTTGCTTTCACCCGAACATGTGCAGATGGAATGGAACTTGTGCTTTCATCCAACTTCCCATGTTTTGGCTGTGCTGAGCAAATACATGGCGCGCCAGAGATGTGATGGTCCCTTCGTTTGTTGAAAGTTGCCACCCCAAACTTGGAGTGGGAACATGCCATTTTCCCGCCGGAGGCACGCAGCTTGCCCTCTGCAATCCGGTGATGCTGGTCATGGTGGCATTTGTGCTCTGGGCTTCTTTGCTTCATGTGACCATGGAGGAAGAGAAGGAGCTCTTCGATGAGTTTCCAGGCAAATGCTGCTAACGTGCGGTGACTGTCGGTGATGGCCATGGGATTCGAGGATTGCCTGCTGTGTACGCCGGGACGTGGGACGTGGACGTCGGGGACGTGGGGGACGTTGGGGACGTAGAGGACGTCAGGGACGTTGGGGGACGTGGGGGACGTGGGGGACGTTGGGGACGTATAGAGGACGTAGTGGACCTTGGGACGTAGGGGACGTAGGGGACGCAGGGGACGTAGGGGACGTAGGGGGCGTAGGGGACGTAGGGGAGGTAGGGGACGTAGGGGACGTAGGGGACGTAGGGGACGTAGGGGACGTAGGGGACGTAGGGGACGTAAGCGACTGGGGACGCCATCTGGCAGGTTGAAGGCGTGCTCAATCGTATGTTCATCGTCAGGATCTGCGGCGACTTCCAAGCCTGCAGGGCAAAAACAAAGAGGAATAACAGGTAACATGGCATGGCTGCACCGTGAATCTGCGTGCGCGCACATAGCGCCAGGAGGTGCGATGCTGCTGTTTTCAATCGGTCTCTGTACGGCTGGTCTGATTGCAATGCCAGTCGTTTCTCTGCAGCAAAATTTCAGAAACAAAAAAATGACCTGTCAGTCGACCCATATGCCTAAAAGAAGCCTTGAAGCCGGAAAACCAGGCAAACAGTATTTTGCAAGCACTGGAATTCACTTTGTCTAATCTAGGCCGGTTTATTTCGGTATTGGGACTGCAATTTGTCTGACACCATTTATCTGTATGTGTGCGTGCATGGAAGCGGTCAAGGACGTAGTGGGTTTGTGGAAAACACAGACGAGGAATGGATGAGAACCAGCGGTCCATGAACCTTCTCAAGTGGCAGCTATCGTCATGACATATCGTGGTAATAATAGAATCATATTTGTGCACCAATGTGCTGACAAAGGCAGCTCTCTGCGTCAGGCTCTCACCGCCAAAGAATTCCTGAAAGCCGATAACGGCCCCCGTCTCGTTGCATGCCACCAGCCAGCCGCCTGATCGACGACGGGCTCTCTTGGACATCTTCGCAGTGTTACGGGTGACAAAATCACAGGCTTCTGCTATGTCAAGATCTTCGGTTGTTTCCTTGGTCTGGCTAGGCTTGGACTGGATATGAATCTGGGCACGAATCCAATCGTGAAGCGGCCATGCCAAGTCGACCATACCAGCAGGTTTGGACCGCAACAAATCCTGTGGATCTTTGGCTACGCAATGCTTCTTGAAGATGCGGACCCCGCAGTCGACAGAGGCAGGCCTGTCATGGGTGTGACAAAAAGAGCGCTTACGCCCTGGTGTCTTGTCCTTAGATGTTCAAAGTCCAGGGCCGAAATTTCAACATGGGCCCTTCCACTTCCAGTGTATGTGCTATATATCAGTATTCCCCATGCGGGCGCACCACCCCGCAAGCCATGCTATACTGCTACAGGTGCGGACAAAGGTGCCCCAGAGGTGCCCAGAGGTGCCCCATGCAGAGGTGCAGTGAGATGCACAAGCCAGAGCAAGGTTCAGACAGCAAGTATTCTGATTGAAATCCCCGCAGGAACTTGGAGCAAGTTAAATTTGTGAAAGCGACAGGTGTGGGTCGCTTGTTCCCAGGCTTGCACAGCCAAGTAATCAAGGGCCTATTCAAGTAGTGAGCCGAAAGTCACGTCGGGTGAAGGTCTTGGGCCATGGAAGGCAGATGGCGTCGGCAGAAGCTTGAGCTGGGTCTTGTTAGGACCAGGACAGTTTTGTGGCAGCTGGCTTCTGATGGCGTGGGGCGCAGATGGCTGGTTGCCATTTTACTCAGTTCGCGGCAATCTCTGGATCCCGGTGATGGCTACGGGTGGGTTTACTCTTTGGCAGCTTTTGCCACGAATTTGGTGCATTTGTGCCTCCGTAGGCTCCAGCCGTGCGTGTCAATCTGCTGCTTCCTCCTGTCTGGAAAAACCGATTCAAAAGGCTTGTGGCTGAATTGATACCAGCAGGAGATTTTCCATGCGAGGACTTGTCGGCATCATTCCCAGTCAGTAGGCCGAATGCCAGGAAACTGGGGTAAACCTCATCCACGTTTGCCAAGCGGCCGTATCCACCAGGTCCCCAAACTCGGCCACTCTTTTTCTTCACAGAGTAATCACCACTGACTGCTTCGAAAAAAGCCTGTCAGGGAGGCAGATGCTGCTGTCCAGGGAAGATGTCCGCGAGGAATGTGTGCCCAAGACCATGCACCAATGATGTAATGCTATGTGGGAAGAATGCATGTAGCGTGTGAGAAGGATCTGTATTTCCGAAAGTGTACAACACATGAGGTTTGGGAGTAATGTGGGATAAAGGAAAATAAATCATCCATGTGGGAATGGTTTATACCATCTATTTATGGTGAAATTATGGATTGTTTATTGTTGTTTCGGTAACATTAGTTGGAAATGTGCGGGTTCATATATGTATAGTTATGTATCTGTATCAATTAAGGACTGCGTGAGATGCCCGCTCGCCTCTGGCGTGAAGCCTTCTAAGACATTCGACGGAAGGGTCTCGGTCTGAATATCTTCTTCTGCTGCAGGATGACGCTGAAGCACGCATGCCCGCTCCCGCTCATGACAAGTCTGGTCGATCACCGTGCCAAGTTCCCGGAGCAAGCTGGTGGTTTGACTTTTTCGGCTCTGCGGAGGGTTGATGAGAAGTGTGGCTAGGACCAATGGCGTTGGTTCTGACCATATTCTCACCTGCGCTCCATTGGCTAATGGGGCTAGGCCAGCTAAAACAGACATAGAAATCGCCATCGTGTGCAAACACTTCTTGGCAGCTTGCTCTTCCAAGAAGAGGCTTCCGACCTCTCCGAAAAGTTCTTGGAGGTCAAAGTGGTTTTCCACCAAGGCCCACGCCTGCTCAACGACCATGTTGTCCGACATGGTTCGGCAAGATCTAAAAGGCTGTGCCGAGAAAATGGTCGAGACGTTTCTCTGCTGGAAAACGATCTGAAGAGTAGATTCAATGGAAATGTGAAATTTTGTAGATATTGTGACAGGTTGGCAGGGGCCCATGTAACGATATTGTGGTATGGCTTGAGGTCAATGGGAATAAATGTCCTGGGAACATCATGGTAAAGGAGGAAGAGGATGTCATGTATGCCATGGCAGGACCACTACTTACCATAAGTCTCCTGCATTTGTGTTGCGGCACGGGCATTGCCGAGCAGCACCCCTGCATTGGCGCTGCTGTCCCTTTGATAAGCAAAGCAGAGCGGCGGAACGGATGGCCAGAGTCATGTGAAGTAAAGGATGTAGCCGCAAAGATGTGGAGGAGCTGGATGACATATACAGAGAACGCAGGGGACATGGAGGACGTAGAGGACGGGACGTCAAGGACGCGAAGCACCCACAGGACGTAGAAGAGACAGGACGGGACAGACATAACGTAGAGGAGCAGACAGCAAGGACTTAGAGTACACACAGGACGGACGGGACGTGAAGGACGCAGAGGACAAAGAGTCCGTAGAGGACGTGGTGGGCCTAGAGGACGTAGAGGACGTGGAGGACGCGAAGTCAAGGACGTAGAGGACGTCAAGGACGTAGCGGACGTCAAGGACATAGAGGACGGGACGGGAAGGACGTAGAGGACGTAGAGGACGTGGAGGACGTAGAGGACATAGAGGACGTGGAGGACGTAGAGGACGGGATGTCGAAGACGGAGCATGGGAGGAGGAGACGTCAAGGACGTAGAGGACGTCAAGGACGTAGCGGACGGCAAGGACATAGAGGACGGGACGGGAAGGACGTAGAGGACGTGGAGGACGTAGAGGACGGGATGTCGAAGACGGAGCATGGAGGAGGAGACGTCAAGGACGTAGAGGACGTCAAGGACGTAGCGGACGTCAAGGACATAGAGGACGGGACGTCAAGGACGTAGAGGACGTAGAGGACGTGGAGGACGTAGACGGCGGGACGTGGAAGACGGAGAGTGGAGGAGGAGACGTCAAGGACGTAGAGGACGTTCAGGACGTAGCGGACGTCAAGGACATAGAGGACGGGACGTCAAGGACGTCAAGGCGTCAAGGACATAGAGGACGGGACGTCAAGGACGTCAAGGACGTAGAGGACGTGGAGGACGTCAATGTCCAATGTCCTGGTCGATGTCCTGAAGTGCAAGGCGGGCAATTATGTGGGATTCGGTGTCCTCAACGTAGAGATGAAGGTCATAATGGGACAAATCATCTAACTAAATGGGCCTGGCTTCCATAGCTATGGTAGATTACCCGAGAGAGAGAGAGAGAGCGAGCTGCTGTTTGCTGGCTGCGCAGGCCAATATTCCAACTATGCGGTCGGTGCCATAGTTTTCCGAATCAGAGTCCGAGAGGTGTATTACCCTCTGGTAATTTAAGACCGCCATGGAACCCATGGAACCCGAGAATTTTTCAGAGGCAAATCATCGAACGAAACGGGCCATGGCTTCCATAACTTTAAAATTCCCAGAGGGGTCCCACCATGGCTGAAGGCAGTGACCACCACCTGGATCCCCGGATTTCCTGTGCTACTGGAAAGCTCCTCATTTCAGCGGGAGATGGAAGACACCGCTCCAGAAGATGGTGGAGAGATGGAGCAAGAAGAAAGTGAAGAGGACAGGATGGGTGCCATTTATCCATGGGTTCAGAATGGGTTACGGTTACAGTAATGATGATTGATAAATTGGATAAATAGTCAGTTGTCCTTTGGTAATCACACGGCTGTTTAGAAACTGTGATTATAATACACTATAACTAATTCTAACTTATAACCCATTTATGTAAACATGGGATACTCGTCTGAATGGGGACGACCCCGATCATCAGGGTGAGTTATTTAAACCACTCCAAGCAGGCCCTGGCCCCGATCTGCATCGAAGTGCAAGAATACAAGCAGGCTACAGTGTTTTTTACAAGCCATGTTTTTTTTTCTCCGGTGAGAAACCAGGATACCCTCTGGTAAACTAACATAGCTATTGAAAATTGCCCATTTATAGTGGATTTGCCCATTAAAAATGGTGATTTTCCATAGTTATCTGGTGATTTAGAGTTGATTTGGCCTACAGCTAACTGCAATTGCCATCCAAGGAGATGATAGATGAAGAAGATGACCTACTGCCAACGTGGGAAGGGGTGAAGAAAGGCGGTGCCTTATGGAACCGACAATTTCAGGCCCCCTGGGAATTTGGGCAAATTATAGTCGCTGAACTCAGGTCATAGAGATTTGTTTCCATAATTTTCCCATCAACTTGTGGCAGATCAGAATTTTCCGATAGAAAACCTTGCGCTTGCAAAGTTGGACGATGTCAGATGCATTCGGCATCGTCAAAGATGCCTGCAGGAACCCTGGCGTCTCGGATAGGCTTCTCCATTGTTTGAACAGCGGCATGTGCATATTCTCTCAAGGTGCCAGCTTGGCACTATGACAGGCAAAGTCTGCATTTTTTCCTTAGTTTGATCTCTCCGACGCTTGGCTATGGGTCAAAAAAAGGAAGACCTGGGAGCTAATCCGTATTTTTTCGGCCTAGTGTGTGTGAAATACCATCCAGATCATCTAATTTCAGGCCATCAATCTTTTGATCCATAGCCATAGCCAGATTTCAAGCAACCACCGTGTCACCTTTTAAGCCAAGCTGCACCCTGCAAGCTGCGGGAGTAAGTCGGACAGGTGCAGAGACGAAGCTCAAGAAAAAACAGATATGGAATCCATGGCCGTTTCAGGTACCTAAACTGGAGGTACTGTACCATATAAAGCCATATAGTGGCCATAAAGATTGTATATGGTAGGTCCCTCCAATATCCCTCCAATTTAGGTCCCTGAAATGGCGAATGGGGAAGAATGTGGGACACCAGAAACGGTCATCCCAGGCATGGTGCCCATGGCTGCCACGCTTTCCGAAGCTTTTGCTTTCATTTTTCTTGCGTCACATATTGATATATATATATATACAATATATATATATATCTGTATTTGAGTATAGACATTGGTATTTTGCGTTTCCATACATACATAGATCTTGGACATATATAGTGTCATATCTACCCATACATACGCATACTGTATGCACACGCATATGCGCACACACAGAAATATGTATTATACACATATATATATATGTATATATACGCGTATGTGTGTGTGTGCGCGCGCATGAAGATAGGTGAAGGATGATATTCCGATAAGGAAAATCCACCATGAAAGCCGATCGCTTCCGGGAAACAACAATGGATTTCCATACTTTTTTTCTATGTTTACTGGGGGGTATATCGATAGACACACCAAACTTATGGAGATCAAATTCTCAAGGTTAGCCTCTGGTCATTTGGTTCGTAGCTACTTCTATGGGCGTTCTCACCATTTTTAAATAGGTAAATCATCATGGTTAGGTGATGGGTCATTTTCCATTTATAGCTGAATAACCATTTAACTGATGGTTATCAGCATGGTTATCATCTAAATAGGTTATAACTGATCATCTAATCATCATGGTTATAACTAAAAATAGGGATGACCAGAGGGTATCAGTTATAGCCATGGTCAGTCGTCATTCCCTGCAGGACTTTGAGGCGCAAAGCTTGGCGAATCTCTCCTGGGCAGAGGCCCAAATGATACAGACTTCTTGAGGTTAAACATGGTAAGACCACCATTGATGATATGCAAAACATCGGCATATATACTGTACATATTATTATATTAATCGAAGGAAGTTTAGAAGTCAAACTTCCGACAATATGGACAGATGAAAAGCAGAGATGGGAAGAGTCAGAGAGAAGAGAGGAGTAGAAGAGAGAAGATCAGAGAAGAGAAAGAGTCAGAAGAAAGAAGACGCAGATGTGCGAAAAGGTAGGAAAGTCGCGAAACACTGTGTTTTTCCAATGATTTGTGGCTCTGGAGGGTCGAAAAGTAGGCTCGCTAAAGCGGCGGGTGCAGAGCCATCTGGCCAGATGAGAGATGAAAAATTGCACGCCGTTGTGGCGCGAAGCACATTTCGAAGTCAAAATGTACAAAACACACCATGGTCGGACCACTTTTAGAAGTTGCGATGTCGAAAAAGTGCACGCCATTGTGGCGCGAAGCACATTTTGAAGTCAAAATGTACAAAGCGCACCAGCTTCGGACCACTTTTAGAAGTTGCGATGTCGAAAACGTGCACGCCGTTGTGGCGGAAAGCACATTTCGAAGTCAAAAGTGCATAAGGCCTGATGGGACGGAGCACCTTTGGACGTTTAGATGTGCTTCCGCGTGGCAGGCGCAAGGGATTGTGCACCTTCTCAAAAGTGAGCAAAACGTGAGGGTTCTGTAGCATTTCCCAAAACGATGGCAGGCGTGGGACATTTGAAGAGGATCTGCAAAGATGCATTTCGCGTGGCAGGCGCACAAAAGATATGTTCATCAGAGATGTTAGGAGGTCAGGGCGCTGATTTCCTGAGAGGGGTTGCACTTTGGAGCATCAGATCTGTAGGTTTGCAAAGATGATTTTGCGTGACAGGTGCAGCACTTCGTATGACCTGGCATCAATTTTTGGTGGCATGCGCAGTACTTTAGACAGGTGGAGTGGAAAAGTCGCAAAACGCATTGGTACGAGGCCGCCAGCGCTGCACTCAACTTTCCATTTTTGAAGGAAGTCTTGCAGAATTGCTTTGTTTTTGATGTTGTCAAATTCAAAAATTGAAGAGGTCTGGCAGAATTGCTTCGTTTTGGATGTTGTTAAGTTCGAAAAATGAAAAGGTCTCGCAGAATTGCTGCGTTTTTGATGTTGTCAACTTCGAAAAATCAGGAAGTCTCGCACAATAGCTTGGTTTTCAAGCGGGCAGATAGACATGTAGATAGAAAGAAAGATAGACAGACAGATAGATAGATAGATAGGTAGATGGGTAGATGGGTAGATGGGTAGATGGGTAGATGGGTAGATAGCTAGATACGCAGTTAGATAGGCAGATGAGATAGATAGATAGCTAGATAGATAGATGGATAGATAGATAGATAGATAGATAAATGGATGGATTGACAGATAGATAACTATATTAATAGAAAGAAAGAAAGAAAGGAAAAAAGAAAGAAAGAAAGAAAGAAAGAAAGAAGGAAGGAAGGAAGGAAGGAAAGAAAGAAAGAAAGGAAGAAAGAAAGAAAGAAGGAAAGAAAGAAAGAAAGAAAGAAAAAAGAAAGAAAGAAAGAAAGAAAGAACAGACAGAAAGAAAGAAAGAAAGATAGATGGATCGATAGATCGATCGATCGATCGATAGATAGATAGATAGATTGATAGATTGATAGATTGATAGATAGAATAGATGGACAGATGACTATCTAGATAGTTGTGTTTTTTCTGACGGCACGATGGCGCATCAACATCCGTTGTTCGTTGCACTTGGTCTTGTCTGTCTTTTCTGACGGCGCGATGTCACATTCTAGCACAGCAACATGTCGGAAGACTTTTGGCCGTTGCCGCTAGGAAAAAAAGGCCGCTCAAGAATCATGCGCCGGACACGTCGGAGGAATTTGCTTGAATGATGAGGTTTCCCACGGCACGGTGTCATCCTCATTCGTGACCTTTTCGAGATGTCTTAGTTACAGATGTTAGGTTTGGTACCGATGTCGTTTGGTCTGCTGAGCAGGTCAGATGGTAGATAGATAGATAGATAGATAGATGGATAGATAGACAGCTAGCTAGATATGTAGATAGATAGATAGACAGACAGAGAGAGAGAGAGAGGGATAGATAGATAGGTAGATAGGTAGATAGATATATAGATAGATAGATAGACAGATGGACAGATGGATAGATAGATGGATGGATGGATGGATGGGTAGATAGAATAGATGGATAGATGGATAGATGGATAGATGGATAGATGGATGGATAGATAGATAGATAGATCGATGGATAGATAGATAGATAGATAGATAGATAGATACCAGTACATAGCTTGATCCATAGGGAGATAAATAGATAGATTAAATTAGATTAGTTTAGATTAGATTAGTTTCGGTCAGTTTAGATTACCCTCTGGTAATTTAACGTAGCTATTGAAAATGGCCATTAATAGTGGATTTTCCCATTAAAAATGGTGATTTTCCATAGCTATGTTAGTTTACCAGAGGGTAGATTAGATTAGATTAGATCAGATAGATAGATAAATAGCTAGATAGCTAGATAGATAGGTAGGTAGATAGTCAGAGAAAGAGAGAGAGAGAGACCTGTCGGTCCATCAGTGGCTTCGCTCTGCCATCCGTGACTCACAACAACCAACGTCTCCTATAAGTTTCCTATTTTTGAAACTTCCGCCACCGCCTTGTGCGGTACTACTGGTATACATTTGTATATATATATATATATGTGTGTGTGTGTTCTTCAGTACATGACCTTTGTGAACATTGAAAACTAGATATATGTGCGCTGGCATTTGTGTTTGTGTGAATCTGGGGCAGTTACCTCAAGTGACCGAGTGCCCTATACTGCCTATATTGAAACCTCAGAGTGCGCCCTGCCGCCTATATTGAAACCTCAGAGTGCGCATTGCCATTGTAGGGCCTACAAGTGCAGAAATGGAGATACGTGTGGAACCAATGTAGATACTGCAGCAAAAACCATACATAATTAATACATGTACCTATAGTCATTCAAGAAAATGCCGCCACCAATGTCACCAAGACGTGCCATCAACACTGCAGCCATGTCTATTTGCATTGACATCAGGCCACCATGCGCTTCAAAGATGATGTGTCAGGGCCTTAATCCGTCAGCAGCCAGGAGTCCCCTTTGCCTTTACGCATTTGGACGGCACAAGATCTCTTAAACCACCTTGGATCACTGGGAATCGCCTTGAATGACCTTGAATTTCATGGCCAGTGACACTGCAGGCTCATGCATCACATAGCCGGGGAGGCAGCGGACGCGGCCGGGAAACAAGTGGAGTGACTGCAGTCCCGGCCCTGGGCAGGCGCTGCGCAAGATGGATCGCTTCTCTCCGCAGCATGTGCCCAGCTCAGCTGAGCTTCCGTACCATTTGGGGATGGTTTGTACCCATTTCTGGTCATCTAAGGGATGGTTTATAACTGGGCTGCATCAAAACCAGAGATAACGGGAGGCTGTTTCATCGTGGTAATGAACATTTTCTATGATTCCTACATGAAACAAAAGGTTGTTAGGGCAAATTACCATTTGTGTGAACCGGTGGTTTGGCTCTTGCAGGTGCTAACAGAGACCTGGGTAGTTGGGACTTATCTTTCGCCGACTTTGATGAGGTTGCCAACACTGCCTGGGCATATGCCACGTGCCGCACCCAACTGGTACCGGACAATCGTAGGTGTTATGCATGGATGCTTCAGAGGTTGCAGAGCAAAGTAGGTCTAGGGCCAGGGCCTGGCCAAGATTCCGCAAGATCACGCTATTTACCAATACAATACCTTTTTGGGAACAGTGCCTGAAACCCACCCCTCTTTAGAGATCTTCAAAAATATATTTGTTTCTCTTTGAGGATTTTGAGGAGAGTACTTAAAATCAATTCTGAAGCTGATTTGTGAGATATTTTCCCTAGAAAATTGTGTAACCTGAACGCCACTGAGGTTGGGGCGCCGAGCTGATGCCCTCTTCAAGGCTCTTGAGGCACCGAAGACGTGGCCATGGGTCCAAATTTGAGTAGGTGTCCACAGTTTTAGGTCACTGAAGCAGTGTTTCTTGCTGGTGGTTGTGTACGTATACATATTATTGCATTTGAATATTTAATCGTGTTCTATGTTTTGCCCTGTGAAGCAGTGTTTTGATCTTGATAAACATGATGACAAACATCCATAGATACATAAATACATGAACAAATGAACCATTCTGCCTTTGGTCAGGCATGATAAAGATCCCCAGTTTTGCGATATTTATCCAAGTATGATCAAGTATGGCCCATATCGGAGGCCTTGACCTCCGAGGTGCCTGGCTCAAAGATTTGTTGACTCCCAAAGCTGGAGGCTTTTTATTCAGCCAGTGGGCTGACTATATTTTTTTTTGTGGACACCATTGACGTAGCAAATGATGACATATTATCATTGTCATTGTCATATACTATCATTATTTGCGTTATCATATATTATCACCGTATCACTATAGTGATATGTGTCAATATATACCAGCAAACTAGGGTTGAAGTTCAAATGATCTGGGGCTGTGACTTGCTGCCAGGCCCGAGCTTTGCAATTGCTCCAAGAAGACGCTCCTGACTTTGTTGGCATCTCAGTGGAAGGTTTCCTCAAAGGACAGAAAGGACAGTGAAGACCAACTTATAGCACCCTCCCACCAAGATAGTAAAGTCGTATGAAACTACGTAAATCACGTTTCTATCATATACTTTTCTCTCCTTTTTTTTTTGGATGCCTTTTTGCCATATAAAAACCCTCTTCCCGGGAACCCCTGGCTTCATCCTCGTAGATGTTGCCTGAAATCTCGCATTCCCAAGTGAACGACTGTCTCGGCCACATCGAGGGATTCTGCTGTATCTCATTGAGACATCATTGATATATCATTGATATATCATTGATATATCATTGATATCTCATTGGTATCATTGATATATCATTGCTGTATCATTCTCAGCCTCAGATCTTTGACGCCAGGTGTCACTGGACCTTGCGCTCTGTTCCTGGCACTGAGCTTAGCCACCAGTGATGCAATGGGATGCTTCAGCCGCTTCAGTGCATGGCAGCCAGCACCGCTGAATGCTCAAGCAGGAAGTAAAGGACATATGACGCCATGGATTGCTGGATTTGGGGCCTTAACTTGACTGATCCCATGTATGTAACACACACACACACACATAGAGAAATATAATATACATTCATATTCACATATACACTAATGTAAATGAATTAATATATATATATATAATATGTATGTATGTATACGATTATAGCATATGTGTATAAACGTGCATGTGATACATGAATATGCCCGCACACACACACATGCATATTTACATATGTATATATATGCACATTTATACATCTAGAAGGTAAGAACATCATACAACGCTGCAGCATTACTAAATAAGGCAATGCTCGAAATTACGCCCCAGCTGAGACCTATTTCTAACCCATGTCAACGGATGCAGCTCTTGATCTCTGGAAGTCTCATGAAGTGACCTTGCAAAAGAATGCAGAAGCTGACGCTGATTCTATGCGTCCTCAAAACTGCCGTTACTTCGGATGTGGAAGACCTGGCATGTGCGGTTGAAGCAGTTGAGTGGCAAGAGTACCATTCGGCCTACGAAGCCGCCACCCGAGCAACCGCACTTGGGGAGAGCGCTGAACGGGATGTTGCCAGAGCTGCTTTGGCTGAGCAGTTACTGCTCCGGACATCCAACGTCACCGATGTTCTCTCGTGCAACGTTGGGGTCATTGCTGGGTATTACCTGCTGGCGCGCCTGGTGTCTCAGGAGGCGGTGGATACCATGGGCCTTTTTGGTGGAGCAGCGGAGGGCCAGACGGGCCTGGCATATCGACTGCTGCAGCTGGCGTTGGTCTTCATTTTTACCTTGCGGAATGCCAACCGAATACCCACTGGACCAGCCAGGGCCTGGGGTGTCAATGAGCACCTCATCATCCCCGCCATCATGCACATGCGCAGGGGCCAGGAGCTGAAACGCCAGACTGACCTCCGGAAATTGGTTCCCATTTCGCCCCGCTTTCGCGATCCCAATCTGAAGATTGGGATTGTTTCCATTTGTGCTTACCCTGAAGATCATCCCTTGGCGCTGCCAAAGCTGACCCCGGCCAACCGGGAAGCTTATGCCGAACGCCACGGATATCAGCTTCGGATGCACTTGGAGCATCCAGTCATAGGAGCCCATGGCCTGGGGGTGCAGCATGCCAAACTGGCCACTGTACTGGCATATCTTCAGTCCAATGAGTTTGACTGGGTAGCCTGGCTGGATTGCGACTCCATCATCATGAATCTGAATCGAACCCTAGATTCGGTAATTTATCAGTATGCTCAGAGGCGGATTCAGGCAGAAGATGTGGGTGAAGATGTGCCGACTATATGTGGGGAGTTGAATGATGAAGCTGATGCTTTGGTCGGAGAGTGGCTTGATTCTTGGGTCACGGGTGATTTCCAGGAGGAAAGCGTGATACAGATCCGTCGCGGGGCGGACGATGACGTTTATGCAGAAGCGCCGCAAATCGGTCTTGTGCAGGGGAGACTGGTGGACGACCAGTTGGAGATGGATTTTGAAGGAGGCACTTTGAATGCGCGAATTGTATGGAATACAACGGCAAGTGGCTGGTTGCTAGTTTAAATACTTTTGGCTTTCTACCCTACCTAGGTGGCAGTTTCAACTTTTTTTTGCTGTATTTTCCCATTCTACCATTATGGTCTGTGTTTTCAAGCATTTTCCATTTTTCATCCCTCAAAATCGGAGGATGATCCCTGATTGATTTATCTATATATATATATATCTCTCTCTCTCTATACTTATTTTCACGTAACTATTTTCCTTCCAGAAGATGGGGTCCCAAGTCCCAAGTTTTTGTCCCCAAGTTTTTCATTCTACGAAATCCACCCCAGGTGGCGTTTGGGCGCTGCAGCTGCAATGGGACAACGGTGCTCGGTGGCTGCACCGTGAGGCGCCGGGCGCGGCAACGCAGCCGTGCCGGGAGCCATGTCGCGTGCCAGGGCCCAGCTGTGGCAGAGCCTTGCTCGACCCGGAGGCTGGGAATATCATCGAAGCATTGCTGGATCGAAATGTGGGATTTTCCAGTGTTTGAGGACACAGGGTAAAGCATCCATTTGGGGTGTGAGAATCTGATAATTCTGATGGTTTTGAGCCACATTTTGAGAAGAATTCTTGAACATTGGTTGCAAATGGATCGTTTACATTTGCAACAGGTCAATCTGCTCATCACTGAAGAAGGATGGGGGTTGAGTTCGGCCAATTGGCTCATCAAACACAGCGCTTGGTCCGTGAAGTTTCTCCATGATGCCTTGACTGCTGCCCATGTGGAGCTCCAGCTTTTTGGGGATCAGGATGCGATGATTTTGCACTTGATGAACCGAATCTTTTTTGCAGCGAAATCAAAAGTCCTAAGTTCAAAGTTTTCCAAAGTTTCAGTTTTGATCAATTTCCTTTGTTTTCATTTGTCCAAGCCCACTGAAAACGTTTATATATATATATATTTATTTCATTTTCCGCTTTCGTTTTACTGTTGGACCCCCCTTGCAGACAACCAAACAGACCTTCCCAAATATGGCTCCCAAGGTCAGTCGCTGGAAGCCGCGCAGCGGCCTCCGGAAGGGAAGGATCCGCTGGACCGCCACGCCGCCATCATTCCTCAGTTTGAACTCAACGCCTACGACGCCTTGAACGCCCTGACCATGGAGTGTGATGCCTTCGTGGAAGGCGATTTGTTGGTGACCTTCCCGCAGTGCAAAGATGCTGAGGGATGTGACCTGGATGTTATAAGTGGAAGGTGCTTTGTGGTGAAGGTGGCTGTGGCATTTACCTACTGGGTAGTGGTTGAAAAGCTTGCTCACAGCCTCAAAATAAGTGGCGGGAACATTTAGGGGTGTTGTGGCAGCCCCCCAAACTGCAAGTGAAGCACCGAGACTTGCCATGAAAGTGTAAGCTGTCATCTCTGCAACATGTCGACCAAATTAGCGGGGAGTTGGACCGATGGTGCAAACCTAGAGCTGAGGCAACGATGTCTTTGAGCTTGCAGCGGAGTATGCTCAAGATGCTGGGAAATTGCTTGATCCAGATGCTGGTGCCTGGTGGCAGCGTCGCGAATCAACTCCAACCTGGTCCAGGCTAGCTTGGGCTCTCCTTGGGTTACCAGTTTGGGACCACAAATTTCGGTCCGTCTATTTCTAGAGTCTTTAACAGCTCTGGCTGAAACTTGGAGTAGCAGCCCAGATTTTAGACGATTTTGGTCTGTTCCATCTTTAAACACCCATGGTCACCTATGCAATAAATAATTTTCATCTCACACTCAAATTTGCAGGCAGGTACTTGCCAGCCATTTTGGTCATTTCTTGTCCTCTGGGTCTGGGTCAAAAGCAGCCATATCTGTCGACATTTGCGAGATTTGAGATGAACATCCGCAACTCCCAGCTATTTTGATGTTCACCAGGGAACTAGGTCTTTTGACCTATACCGCATTACCCTTATGGGGATGGGTCAAAACCTCTTGTTAACATATTTTATTTGGGGGAATAACCATCATTAACCAGCTATTTTAGAGGCTACCTAGGTTACCGTACCACGGTTTTGACCCCATAGCCCCGTCACCTGTGGCACCCGGCCAGGTACAGCCGTTCCTCCTCCGCCTCGCTCCGTGTTTTCGGACCGCGACCTGTGATCAGGGACGTTTTCACGCGGGAGCAAGAGTACAATCGGGCAAAACAACAGCGGTACCCTCTGGCTCAACGATGCCATGGCCATGGCTGGAAAATCCCCCCAAAATATCCAAAAAGGTGATTTCCTCCTTTCACACGAAGACTCTTGCAGCTACACATATTCTATATCCTATATATCCTATATATCCTATATAGCCTATATATATATATATCTCTCTCTCTCTCTCTCTCCGCGATGTACATACATACATACACACATATATATATATAATATCTTAATAGTGAAGTTGAAATAAGAAAATCCATCGATCCAGGGCCCGGGTGAGGTGGTGATATTTCGTCAGTGGCAGGGCTCGAAATGATCGCCCCATAAACTATTGATTGCAAATGAAACTAGAAAGTAAATGTGCACTTGAAAGTAGATGGTAAATCAACGCAAATCACCATGTTGTAACTGGATGTTGGTCTAATCCTGAAGCCAATCAACTCGGAAGGCCAACTGTTGGGCCCTTTGTTGGTCTCGGCGCCAAGGTCCTTCGCATGGCTGGAGCATGTGGGACCAAATTCTCCTTTGCTACATGCGATTGCGGATGCATCGTTGAGGCCCGACGGCTGGCTACTCGTGTCGTTTACCAAAAGACATTCCTTTCGCCGCTGCCATTTCCAGAAGAGTTACGAAAGAAATAAACATGTTATGCCTAAAGTTTACTTTGTTTGCTAGCATCCCACGAACCGTAAGTGGTTGGTAATGAATAACCCTGGTGAACGTAAGTCGCAAGTCCCCGATTCGAGGATTATCCCATTTGCTGGTTTCTTAAAATGGGGGGATCAAAAACCATGGGTTTCAATACTAGAATGGCCTATATAATGACTTGGATCATGAGGGGCAACCCCCATTTTAGAAAACCTCCATTTAATGGGTAAACTAGTTTGAGTGAACCACTTAAGTTACCTCAAGGGTGCCAGCTTTGCCAGACGACTGGGCGAGTTCAGCACCCAGCAATTGGCCAACATGCTGGGGTGCCCCAGGCTTTCACCGGGATGCAGAAATGATGGTTGGTATGGTGAGTTGTCGAGGCTGTGGGGCTTGGACCATGCGAATTACCAGAACTCGCGCTTCTTTGAGACGGTGGCAAGGGTCCCAAGGAATGGGCCTATGACTACCAGGTGACTACCAGGTGACTACCAGGTGACTACCAGTTGTAACTGGCCTAGGCTGACTTTCGCCAGACTTTGGGGTACCGGGTACGTTTAAAGACCAGTGAGTTGCCAACTTTGGTGCCGAGTGGCTGAGCGGCACCAGGTGCAGTGGTGCTGCTCACGGCCCATGAGTTTCTGGCAAAAGGCCCACTGCGGTGCTGATTTTTTTCGCCAAGCACATGGCTTTATGGACTTTAGTGATTCAAAGAATGCATGTGTTAGCCCCTAAAGGATTGTTGTGCTGGTGTGTGCGGTGCAACAAAGCTCCCACTGCTCGCCTTTCACTACTGTCCAGCTGGATGTGGCATAGGCGGCTGGAGAAGAGATGGTCTCAGCCGCTGGCCCAGTAACTCATTGCAGATTCACGTCGGTGGGCCATTCCATGGTTGGTAAACGATGGTAAGCCTTATTTTTTGATGATTTGGGAGAGTTTGGTGGTCTTGAAATGAAATAGCATTTCATAATCCAAACTCCTCTTAACAGCAGTTTGTTTAACAGCAGTTTGTGATTCTGCATGGGACACTGTATCATTCACACGCGGTTCTAGCTGTTCTGCGATGTGCTCTTTGAGGTAATGACCGCGTTGCGTCCATATGCCTCCGGCAATGCCCAATGGAGAGAACTTGAGGCCAAATCTGTTGAAACCGGGAGGTTGTGTTGCTCTGTCTCTCTTTCTCTCTCTCTCTCTCTCGGGGCTGGAAGTTGGCAGTTGTCCCATATTTTGCACACCACAAGCATTATATGCATAGATACGTGCATGCATTGCATCCATCCATCAGTCCATCCATCCATACAGTGACATACTACAGCCGCATGCATCAAAATAGCAGGCATCGCCATAAATCTTCTTGGGGACCGTTGTGCCATTCTGCTGACGACCTCCCCTCCTCCAGACGTTCTTCACCAACGAGACACTGCGTCCCTTGGCGCGGTTCCTTTGCACATCCAACTCCTCAGATGGTTATGTCCAGGCGTGACCTGAGGAACATGGCGGAGAAGCCAATGGGGCCAATGGGGATGTTTGATGTTAGGGGGATGGGTTTATAAGCCATATAGAACTGGGAAATCCAGTTTGGAAGATCGGTTTTATTGAAACTTTGAACCTTGGAGTTCAGGATTGAATGCACCAGCATGGTATGGTCTCAGAAGCTTTTCTAGATGAATCGGATGGTCCTCAATGCTTATGGCCTGTTAAAAAAAGTTCCTCCGGTTTTACCAGAAAAAATGAGCCACTTTTCTGGGTCCTTTGGGATCCCTATACAATTTGAGCCAAACCCCTTTTCAAAGTTATTCCAACCATTTCTAAGCGAATTGAATTCCAGCTCTGGTGGAATTCTGATCTCAGGGACTTCGCCAGCTCCGAACCTACCACGCGCGGCAGCCTGGTTGGTTTTGGAGTCTTGTCCTCTGCATGGGCTGGAAGGCCTGTTGCCACATGGGTGAGGAGTTGAGGATGTTTTGAGATGAAGCTGGTTTTGACTGATTTGTTGGAAATTCTGCCCGAGGCTGGTGCGCTTTACACCTCTTGGCTGTTTGAGGAGATTGGTGCGCCACTACGGCTGGATGATTTGCTGGTGCCAGGTCTTGGCGGGTTTGTGATTCCAGTGCTTGGTGATGTCATTTCTTGGCTCATCCGGCTCATCCCAAGTTCATAAAGCACATGTCAAATGTAGGCAGATTCAGCAACCTAATCCCTTCAACTACTTTCAACCAATGATTCTTGCAAGTCGATGCCGCAACTTGAGTCTGCACAAAACACCAATGTGGCAAACCCATATAAACCCATATGCAAACCCAACAATATATATCCTCTCCGATATTGCCATCAATGGGTGGCCAAAATGATCCGCAAATGGTAGGTTCAGCAGAAATTCCATCGGTCAATTGTTGCCATGCCGTGGCTGCTGCTGGCGCTGCATGCCAAAGAAGATCCCGTGCCATTACCTTGTGATGGCGATGCATCCATCGGGCAGGGATCCCCAGATCCCCAGAGCACGCCTCAGTCCTCAAAGTGGCTGGAAATTATTTCTGGATGTTTTGGCTAGAATCTTGACATCATCCAGCTGGTTGAAAGTTTATTGTGTCCTCATTTTTCCATTTTTTTCCCCATTGGTTGGCCCAGTTGTTCCGCCCCCCGGCACCGCATGGCACGAGGCGACGGCCCAACAACTTCCTGGTGTGCCAAGACCGTGCGGAGACTCGCCAAAAAAGTTTGACTGCGAAGGAACTGGCATGGCTGGTGCAGCCAGATATGATCCTAAAGTGGGGGTACCCCAAATCATCCAAAATCATACCATGTTAGTTTTGAAACCCATGGTTTTGGGGATCCCATTTTTTAAGAACCCCCCATATACATGTGATTGCGACTGACTATTTTTTGGTGTGCTCAAACATGGCGAGCTGCGAACTCCCCGAACTAGAGAGAGAGAGAGAGAGTGAGCTGGGAACATCATCAAACTAAATGGGGGGATTTCCCAACACTCCATGTTTGATTGCTGGAGGGCAAACTCATGACTGGATTGGAAATACGTAACATCCTCAAAGCCCAGAATTGGATGGGCTAAAACCATGGTTTCCTGTAGATTTACCCTTAGACCCACCCAATGACCAAATCTCAATTTGTCACATCCTTGTCGTTCAAGACACGCTCCGCAGGTTAGCGGCACACACTGCATCCTCCACTGCTCCGCTGGCGGCCCCCCGGAATTTGAGGTTCGTCCCGCGTGCCACCCCACCTTGTTTGGTGTAGAGAATAGGCGATGGAGAACGCGCGAGAGAGAGAGAGGTGAATATAGTACATATAATATCATATAATCATATAATCACATAATAGTATATATAATATCAGCGAATGGTAAAAAACCTGATAATATCTGATATATATATATAGATATATGGGTATAGACTAGATATATGGATATAGATTGATAGCTAGATAGATAGATTGCTAGATAGGTAGGCAGATAGCTAGCTAGCTAGCTAAATAGGTAAAGAGATGGATCATGATGGATCAATGGATGGATGGATAGATAGATAAATATTAACACATATCTTTTCACAGCTGCCAATTCACCATCATTCCAGGTATAGTTCAAGGGTCATTTCTATCCAGCTACGGCAGGATTGCAGCACCAATGGCAGCTCGGTGAACGAGGTGAAACTGCACGGCCAGCGGCAGAAACTAAGCCATGGCGATGTGCTTTCCTTGACGAAGCCTGCAGAGGCACGGAGGATGGAGATGGATGGAGGATGGAGATGGAGCTGGTCGTTTTGCTCCAAATTCTTGGATTTGACAGCTCACAACTTTGCAGAAAATCACAATTCTTCTGCTGGACAATATTGGACGACGACGACGAGGAGGAGGAGGAGGATGAGGAGGAGGAGGATGATGATGATGATGATTTTCCCCATGAAACAAACCTGTGGCCACGTGTTGGGAAACTACGGTATATTGTATACTGGCCTTTGTTGGCTCCCGTGGCGAGGATGGAACCGCCTCCGGCCCACGGGTTCAGTATAAGCTCGTCTACGAAGATCCCAAGGAGGCAGATGCAGGAGCGAAGATCCAGCTTCATTTGAAGCTGTGTTGCCAAAGATTTGGGACACTTCCAGAAATATCGCCATGGTTTTTCTTAGTAAGTGGAAGTGATTGATTATGATTGATCCGTTTTTTCTTTACCAGGTGGACACCCAATGGTTGGTATCCTTCCATTTTTCTCACATCCTTCAGCGTTGGGAGGAGATGTACCCGCGACAGCGCCAGATCTCAAGCCACCGGAAAAGGGGGACGTGATTTCAGTTGAGCCATGCTTCGCCCAAGATCTACTTGTTCAGGAGCACTTGCCTTGGAAAATCCATGGAAATCCGGAAGTGTACCAGTTCAAAAGTAGCAGAAGTAGCAACAATAACCATCATAATCATGATGATCATGATGATAAGGAAAAAAAATCAGAATGGCCATAACAAGAGGTAATCATAGTAATAACACCACTAATAACAACAACTGATAGAAAGATAGTAACAAACACAGGCATTAAACCCAGGGATCCCTATGGGGGACCCACAGAGCCTGAGGAGCAGCAAAGCAAGGCCAAACTGACGTCGGACCTGCTCGTGTCACAGCGCAAGCTGGAAGAAGAGCGGAACACAGCAACCAAGCGGCAGGGTTTTCTGGGTCAGCCAGCAGTTCGATGAATGGTTAAAAACCCCAGGGTTTTTATATCTGGTGAAATATGGGTTATATGATATGAATATGGATTATAAACCACTTAACAAGTGGGATGCACATCCAAGTGGTACTGTGATGATATGTCGGTGTGTTCTTTTTTTCTCTGAATAGTCTGAATTCTTTGGACTTCCGACTTGGGTCTCCAACGATTCAAGAAAGTGTTGCTAGGTGGGGTGCTCCAGCAGTCATCGTGCAGGTTGCAGTTTGCTTTAGCATGCCTTTTGAGGGCAAAGCTCACCCGTGACCGCATACTTTTTCACTCATGTCGCTTGCAACATTGGCAACTCAACAGATAGGGCTAGTTGCAGTTGCTGTGAAGATTCAGATGGCCACTTTTCTCATGGCTAACTACCAGAAGAGCATAAAAGGTAGAAAATGAATCAATGTTCGCTGAGGTGTATCTTGCAGTACGTTTCTCCTGTGGGAAAAGCCTGGGGGCTAAAAATAGTGGGCAACGACCTTTTTTTCAGGTGGAGAATCTGATGCGCGAGCTGCGGAAGACTCGTCAGCAGGCAGCCAAACTTGGAGTACCGTAAAGCGATCTTTGGTTTTATGTAACACCAACAAGGGTGTAAACTTTGCAGTTGCATGGGTCCCAAGTTATGACCCATACGTGGCCGAGGAGACACACACACAGTCCCACCAAGGTCTCAATTTAAACTCCAGTCCAAAAAGTATTATCAGCAGTTCGTTCCTAATGGTGGATGTCCAGAATTGGATGATGAAGAAAACCTGCAGGAAACCACCATATTTGACGGTAAAAACCATGGTTTCAACATGTTTCAACACTGATTTCCCCAACAAAACCAGGCCATTGAGGGTTGTCCGAACATCTAGGGGAACACATAGAATACCCTCTGGTAATTTAACGTAGCTATGGAAAATCACCATTTTTAATGGGAAATTCCACTATAAATGGCCATTTTCAATAGCAAACTGTTAGTTTACCAGAGGGTATCATTTTCTCATATCCCCTGTAACAAGCTGCTATTTTCGGGTCCCTGGCCTGGCCATGGGGATGCCGGCTCCGCCATGGGACAGGTAGATGAGGAGCGCCTGAAGCGTCAAGATGCCGAGGACAGCCGCACGAAGCTCACCTCTGAGATGGAAGCCTTGCGGGTCGAGGAGCCATGGGATCCATGGGATCCATCCTGGAGTAAAAGCAGAAAGGGACGTTACGTTTGAAAAAAATATCAACATGGGAAATATGTTTGAAATTCATTCCATGTTCTATCTAGTTCAGGATGATATTATATATATATAGTTCGATCCGAGAATGACAAGGACATCAGATCAATTTTTTTACCGTACATGTGATTCTTCCATATTCTTCCGCTTTTTATGGTCAAACATTTCTATCCCATGTGCTCCATGACAGGCGCGACAACTGGAGGAAGTGACATTGGCGCACGAAGATTTACGGCTTCGGCACGCCAATTGCGAGCAGGACAGGTCTAGCAAAATGACGGGCCAAGGCGATGCCTCAGGTCGTTATCAGGGTTGTTTTACAACTGATACAGTATTACTTTATTTCTTTTCCTTTTCAATTTCTTTAATTATATACATATATTATATAATTATACATATAATTACATTATGTATGCATATATATATATATATATGCATGGAACTAGATAGGTTGAAATGGAGATGGCTCAGGCTACACAAATTGGACTTTTGATGGGTGGATTATTAAAGGGCTCACGCCCCCTGCCGCCGACCCCAGATTCACTCTTTGACGCATGTGCTGAGCAAACATTTGTAATATTTTTATTATGAGAACTGAGAACAGATATTTTGTTGCAGTGGTTGTGTTGCTGAGTTGTTGTGTGGTTGTGTGGTTTTGTGGTGGCTTCGAAGGCAACGTTTGATTTATGTATGATTTGTAGTTGGATAGGATTCCGTTGACGAAGTGCATTGAACCGCATCAAAAGCTTCAATTTGCCGCATAGCCGAACCACATTACATACAGACAAATAGTGGAAAAACAATGAACTGAACATATGAACCAACTAGATGGATTTTGTGTTTCGAATCTGTTTTTCCCGATTTCACCCAGATTGGGCAGACAAATGCACTTCCAGTTTTGATGCCACAGAGTGAATTGGTTGTCAGAAAAAAAATCACACGACAATGAAACTGGTGTTTTTTCAAACATCCATTTCGATGCATCACAAAACTGTTTGGGCTTTGGATCATATACATCCAATAGAAATAATTTGGTGTGGGCAAGGTTTCCAAAATCCTGTTTGCAAAACAATATTCTTGGAAAAACCAACAGCAAAGTCCGACGACCATTTTTTGTGGAAATTGGATGGTGCCTCGACAAGGCGACTGATAGCAGGACGCTGTGCCTTTTTTTTGGGGTGGATTGCCAGGTTTAGATGAAGTGGTGCACACAAATCAGACAACGATGCACGAAGCAAAAGTCGAATGGTTACCTGTTTCAACCCTTGCCGGTGCCTAACGCTGCTTTCTGACCCTCTTAAAAAATCAAGAAAAATGCAAATGCCTGCGGCCAAAGCCAGCGATCCAAGACCCAAAAAGTGCTGGCTCCTAACGCATCATTTTGCTGTCAGCGCGTGTCGAACGGTTACCTGTGTCTACCCTTGCCAGTGCCTAACGTTGCTTTCTGATCCTCTTAAAAAATCAAGAAGCTGCCCGCCCAAAAGCCCACAAAATGCTGGCTCCTAACGCTTCATCCCCCTGTCAGCGCGTGTCGAATGGTTACCTGTTTCAACCCTTGCCAGTGCTTAACGTTGCTTTCTGACCCTCTTAAAAAATCAAGAAGAATGCAAATGCCCGCGGCCAAAGCCAGCGATCCAAAACCCAAAAAATGCTGGCTCCTAACGCTTCATCCCCCTGTCAGCGCGTGTCGAATGGTTACCTGTGTCAACCCTTGCCAGTGCCTAATGTTGCTTTCTGACCCGATTAAAAAAATCAAGAAAAATGCAAATGCCCGCGGCCAAAGCCAGCGATCCAAGACCCAAAAAATGCTGGCTCCTAACGCTTCATCCCCCTGCCAGCGCGTGTCGAATGGTTACCTGTGTCAACCCTTGCCAGTGCCTAACGTTGCTTTCTGACCCTCTTAAAAAATCAAGAAAAATGCAAATGCCTGCGGCCAAAGCCAGCGATCCAAGACCCAACAAATGTTGGCTTCTAACGCTTCATCCCCCTGTCAGCGCGTGTCGAATGGTTACCTGTGTCACCCCTTGCCAGTCCCTAACGTTGCTTTCTGACCCTCTTAAAAAATCAAGAAAAATGCAAATGCGTGCGGCCAAAGCCAGCGATCCAAGACCCAGAAAATGCTGGCTCCTAACGCTTCATCCCCCTGTCAGCGCGTGTCGAATGGTTACCTGTGTCAACCCTTGCCAGTGCCTAATGTTCCTTTCTGACCCGATTAAAAAATCAAGAATCATGCAAATGCCTGCGGCCAAAGCCAGCGATCCAAGACCCAAAAAATGCTGGCTTCTAACGCTTCATCCCCCTGCCAGCGCGTGTCGAATGGTTACCTGTGTCACCCCTTGCCAGTGCCTAACGTTGCTTTCTCACCCTCTTAAAAAATCAAGAAAAATGATACCCTCAAGTACGAGGTATCTAGAATGGGTACCCCTGGAGGGGTCGACCACAAGGTTCTAAAATCATCCCCTGGGATGATTGTAGAACTTTACCCCTTATGATTTTAGAACCCTATATGTTGTCACATATATATATATATAATCTATATATATATAATCTATATATATATATCTAATTATATATATATATATAGATAGATAGATTTAATATATATATATATACCTTATTCAAAGCCAACTTTTGACATCTTCCCACATGTCCTCAAAGATCAGCCAACACTACATAGAGAAAAAACATCTCAGAACCTCTTGGGTCAAGAAGATTATTTTTTTTTTAAATATATATTTTTTTGAGTGTTGGAAGTTCCCAACTTCAAACCCTTTCAAACCAAAGCACTCTCATGGCCCTTGCAGGTCTCATACACATAGCTTGGGGTCTCAGATCATATCTTCCCACATGTCCTCAAAGATCAGCCAACACTACATAGAGAAAAAACATCTCAGAACCTCTTGGGTCAAGAAGATTATTATTTTTTGTAATATATATTTTTTTGAGTGTTGGAAGTTCCCAACTTCAAACCCTTTCAAACCAAAGCACTCACATGGCCCTTGCAAGTCTCATACACATAGCTTGGGGTCTTAGATCATATCTTCCTTCATGTCCTCAAAGATCAGCCAACACTACGTAGAGAAAAAACATCTCAGAACCTCTTGGGTCAAGGATATTTTTTTAAAAAATATTTTTTTTGAGTGTTGGAAATTCCCAACTTCAAACCCTTTCAAACCAAAGTACTCACATGGCCCTGGCAGGTCTTGTACACATAGCTTGGGGTCTCAGATCATATCTTCCCACATGTGCTCAAAGATCAGCCAACACTACATAGAGAACAAACATTTCAGAACCTCTTGGGTCAAGAAGATTATATTATTATTATTTTTTTTTAAATATCCTTTTTTGAGTGTTGGAAGTTCCCAACTTCAAACCCTTTCAAACCAAAGCACTCTCATGGCCCTTGCAGGTCTCATACACATAGCTTGGGGTCTTAGATCATATCTTCCCACATGCCCTCAAAGATCAGCCAACACTACATAGAGAACACACATTTCAGAACCTCTTGGGTCAAGGATATTATTTTTTTAAAAACATATTTTTTTGCGTGTTGGAAGTTCCCAACTTCAAACCCTTTCAAACCAAAGTACTCACATGGCCCTGGCAGGTCTTATGCACATAGCTTGGGGTCTCAGATCATATCTTCCCACATGTGCTCCAAGATCAGCCAACACTACATAGAGAAAAAACATCTCAGAACCTCTTGGGTCAAGAAGACTTTTTTTTTCAATATTCTTTTTTGAGTGTAACTTCCAACTTCAAACCATTTCAAACCAAAGCACTCTCATGGCCCTTGCAGGTCTCATACACATAAGCTTGGGGTCTTAGACCATATCTTCCTTCATGTCCTCAAAGATCAGCCAACACTACATAGAGAAAAGAACATCTCAGAACCTCTTGGGTCAAGAAGATTATTTTTTTAAAACATATTTTTTTTTGAGTGTTGGAAGTTCCCAACTTCAAACCCTTTCAAACCAAAGCACTCTCATGGCCCTTGCAGGTCTCATACACATAGCTTGGGGTCTCAGATCATATCTTCCCACATGTCCTCAAAGATCAGCCAACACTACATAGAGAAAAAACATCTCAGAACCTCTTGGGTCAAGAATATTATTATTTTTTTTTAATATATATATTTTTGAGTGTTGGAAGTTCCCAACTTCAAACCCTTTCAAACCAAAGCACTCACATGGCCCTTGCAAGTCTCATACACATAGCTTGGGGTCTCAGATCATATCTTCCCACATGTCCTCAAAGATCAGCCAACACTACATAGAGAACAAACATTTCAGAACCTCTTGGATCAAGAAGATTATATTATTATTATTATTTTTTAAATATCCTTTTTTGAGTGTTGGAAGTTCCCAACTTCAAACCCTTTCAAACCAAAGCACTCTCATGGCCCTTGCAGGTCTCATACACATAGCTTGGGGTCTTAGACCATATCTTCCCACATGCCCTCAAAGATCAGCCAACACTACATAGAGAACACACATTTCAGAACCTCTTGGGTCAAGGATATTATTTTTTTAAAAACATATTTTTTTGCGTGTTGGAAGTTCCCAACTTCAAACCCTTTCAAACCAAAGTACTCACATGGCCCTGGCAGGTCTTATACACATAGCTTGGGGTCTCAGATCATATCTTCATTCTATTGCTAGGTCAAGATTTGATCTCAGACCCCCTAACGTACCACTTGTTTCAGGAGGTGCAAAGTTCTGATATCTAAGTGGTGGTTTTCTAAAAGAATATGATTTCAGATACCCCAAAAGGTTCTATAATGCTGTGTCCAGGGTCCCTGGCTCGTAGTTGAGGGTATGAAAAATGCAAATGCCTGCGGCCAAAGCCAGCGATCCAAGACCCCAAAAATGCTGGCTTCTAACGCTTCATCCCCCTGCCAGCGTGTGTCGAATGGTTACCTGTGTGACCCCTTGCCAGTCCCTAACGTTGCTTTCTGACCCTCTTAAAAAATCAAGAAAAATGCAAATGCCTGCGGCCAAAGCCAGCGATCCAAGACCCAAAAAATGCTGGCTTCTAACGCTTCATCCCCCTGCCAGCGCGTGTCGAATGGTTACCTGTGTCAACCCTTGCCAGTGCCTAACGTTGCTTTCTCACCCGATCAAAAAATCAAGAAAAATGCAAATGCCTGCGGCCAAAGCCAGCGATCCAAAACCCAAAAAATGCTGGCTTCTAACGCTTCATCCCCCTGTCAGCGCGTGTCGAATGGTTACCTGTGTCACCCCTTGCCAGTG